ATGTTGTTTATCGGCAATGCAACCTAGCCTGCGTGCCACTCGGCCCAGCTAGGTAGCCAGGCAGCTAAGTCGCAAGAAAGTAGCAAGAAAGTCGCAGCTAAGTCGCAAGAAAGTAGCAAGAAAGTCGCGGCTAAGTCGCAAGAAAGTAGCAAGAAAGTCGCAGCTAAGTCGCAAGAAAGTAGCAAGAAAGTCGCAGCTAAGTCGCAAGAAAGTAGCAAGAAAGTCGCAGCTAAGTTGCCAGAGAGTAGCAAGAAAGTCGCAGCTAAGTCGCAAGAAAGCAGCAAGAAAGTCGCAGCTAAGTCGCAAGAAAGTAGCAAGAAAGTCGCAGCTAAGTCGCAAGAAAGTAGCAAGAAAGTCGCAGCTAAGTCGCAAGAAAGTAGCAAGAAAGTCGCAGCTAAGTCGCAAGAAAGTAGCAAGAAAGTCGCAGCTAAGTCGCAAGAAAGTAGCAAGGAAGTCGCAGCTAAGTCGCAAGAAAGTAGCAGCTAAGTCGCAAGTGAAAAAAAAGAGAAAGGAAAGTGCATGTCCCTTTGAAGCCACCGTAAAATTCGACGTTTGAACTGGTCTCAAGGCCCAGTTCAAACGTCGAATTTCACTTGTGTTTATAAAAATTAAATAGACACTTTGATTTTTTGTTCTTTTATTTATTTATTTATTTATTTATTTAAGACTAGTCCAAATTGAAACCTGTTGGTTTTGCACTATAGGTACAAAATCCAAGACGTATACTATAAGACGACAAATCCATTATTTGTTTGTCAAACTACATGAATGCCTGGCTCTCTTGAGTAAACCAAATCAATACAAGGCATAAGATAGCCCCTGTTGAATCTCCACTTTCTCCTCAGGCACTTTTTCATAACAATTCCACGAAACAACTTGATAGGGAACACTGCGAAATTTCTCTGTCGAATTTCCAGCCATTATTTCTTTCGCCGAAAACAACAGAACTTACAGCAGCCAAACCAAAGACTGCCCTATGATTCGTCGGTTGATTTCTCGAAGAGCTCGCGAAAATCGTTCAGCTTCCTCTTCGGGGGAATGAAACAAAGAAACCGTTTTGTTTTTGCGCCGAATTTCGCGCGTGCTCTTTCCATTTCCTGCCTTTCTTTTTCCCTTCTTTCTTCGCACTTTACTCGAGGATGATGAACCAGCAATTCTTTTTTCAGCTTCCATAGCTACCTATCGTGATAAGCGATTAAATACCAAAACATCAGCTGTCACTGATATGAAACGTCACTTACCCCTAGCCCATCAAAAGTCACTCGATAACAAGTTACGGTTAATAATGGGGTACACGAGGGATAGGTGAGCAGTTGCTCCGATACAGATTCGGTTGATTCACCTGAACTGATCAAAGGAATGCTTACGTAACAGTTGAAAAAAACCGGCGTTAGCAGCAAGGGTTAGGAAGTTTTTACAAAATTCGGCTTCATCTTTTCAATACACATAGTTGGTCAAAAGTGGGAATCGGCTTAAGAGAAGAATCCTAATTATATGCCGAGGTAGATAAATTATCATTCCAGTTCTGTCTTTTCAGCCCTTTCATCATATCATACGATTGCGTGACTAAAGGTTCTGTCTTGAAAGCTGTGAAGGAGGGGGTTAAAATATCCTTATTCAGGACCAGAATATTGTTCAGAATTCTGCAATGCTTCGATAAAATTTTTCTCTGATCGTAAACCACTGGCAGAAAAGCGTAGCCAAATCCTAGACCTAGAGACTGACTTTCTCCATTTTCCATACTAGTTCATTACACCCATATTTGCATTTTTTGTTACCTGCTTCGTGCAACAGTCTTCGGGCGAATCCGTGACACTTTGGATTTTGCTCTCATTCTCTGTGAATTTCATTTTCTTGGCTTCCAGTCTTGTGTACAGACTTGCTCGATATTCTAAGGAAACAAGGGATTATAAAAAAAAAAAAATTGGGAACCGCTTGAGGGGTCAAACAAATGTCACATAGCTGATGAAAACTACAAGTGTTTAAGTAGTAGTTTCGACCGGCAAACGCTGCGAAAAAAATTCGATCTGGAATTTGTTAGCTCGGGTAAATAATTGAAAATTTGGCATTACACGTACCTGAAAACCTTTTCCCTTCAATCTGTCGAACATCTTCGAACACGTGGCCACAGATACATATCTGCGATGTACCTAAAATCTGTAATGCATGACGGGAATCAAGATGATGAATCATCATCAGTACCTTTTTAATCGCATCAAGTTTGTAAACTAAGATAAACGTCTGAAACCCTGCTCGCAACACACCCACCCACGCGCGTCCTTGTCTCTTCAGTCGCCTAAACAAGCTCTGACGCTATCGTGGGTCGCCTCCGCGTACAACTGTGCAGTCTATCGCGCGCTTGGTTTACATTAGAGAACTATTTTTCGTTCTTTATCCCCGCCCCGCTTCCCCCCTCTCCCTTAAGAAAACACTGAGTTGACCCCTTAAAGAAAACACACATTTCGTTGGGGATAACCCTTAACCCGCGACTCAGGCAACTCCGTCGACTTCTAAAAACACATGTGATATTAATCCTTAATTTCACTCGATCTCGTGCGTTATCTATACCAATTATGGCTAGGGGAAACTTTGGAATGAGTCACAGCGTCGGCAGGAGCATGATTATTGAAATTTGCTTTCCTGGAAAGCGAAAGCGATGAGAACGCGTGTCTCCAGGCTGATGATTTTATTATAAATCACACTATTGGCCCGCGCCAAGCATGCGCTGATCAAGAGTTTTAGGGATGCTTCTTATAACAAAAATCAGCTTAAAGTAACTTTTCACGCTGATAATAAATAATTTTCCAGGTGATGCCGTCGTCAGTATTTAAATTAAAACAATAGCAGAGATTGCTTTTTCGTAACCTTCTAAAACGACCAGGCGAAACCTTCCCAAACGACGCACTGACGTTCGTATCAGTATATACTTTCTTGGATTCACTCGTGCATTCTTGTAGCTCTATTTTATTCTAGACCCTTCTAAGTTGTCAAACTGCGATTGCGAAGCGTGGGCTTTATTTTGACTCACCCGGGCTGTGACGACATGTTTACATCGGCAGTGGAATATTCATACAGTAAGATAATTTACGGCAACAAATGAATTATGCACAATTATACGTAATAATCCTGACACATCTCCTGCCTACTCACCCTTGAGTTGCAAGCGAGACATTGTCGTAGAACCATGTTGGCAGATCTGTGCAAAGTACTGTGTACTGATCGCACGGGTACAATTTATCCCGTGCTTGGCTCTACCGGAAAAGGGCAATTTTCATTATGCAAACCTAATTTGTACTTTTGAACATGAGTTGCAATGTCACGTGCGTATCACTCAACAAAAGGTGCCTGTGACATGGCCACTAAAGTGTTCCATCAAGGGCGCGTTATTAGTAGCTATTTTTAGAGCAGTATGAAAAAGTTATCTATAGGCGGATTCATGCTGACGTCATTGTTTACATTTTTGCGCATACGGCTTTGCGTAAAGAAGGAAGCATGTTAGATACAAATTGACTTCAGGCAGCTAAAGAGCTAGTAAACCTCAGTACATGGTGAAATTTTTAGCTCTTTGGGTGTAATATTCAAGGAGAAATAGTCCATCAAAAACTGCAAAATTTCTGGGTGGCAAAAGCGCTAATGAGCTCATACATTCTATGTAAAATTTTGAGTTTTTAAACCCGTGTTGCACAAAAAGTATTCAATGCATCAGGCTCGTATTCATTGGCCGAGTTAATCGTACTTTGACCTTTCGATATTCAGAACTGATTTAGCTTTAGCTCCATCAGAAACTGAATTGCTTATGCCAATGAGGCAAATATTGTAAACAAGGATTCCCCGATAGCATCAACTCTCCAAATAGTTTGATGGACCTAAATTTTTCCAATCCGAAGTCTCTAATGTCGGCTTACGAACGATGTTTTTCATGTGTGTAAAAAAAATTTTAAAATTATAAGTACCGTCCAACTGTTTGGTTCTACAATTGCCTTTGGTTCCTTTTTTAAGATAAAACAATGACTAGAAAAATGAATCGATAAGTAAATGAATTAATAAGATTTTCCTCGCTGACGGGTGATCAGCCATGGCCGGCCTGGCTGATCACATCATATTTTTGCAATAAGGACTCTGTGATATAAGCTACGATATGATTTCGCTTTTGTAAAATGTATGCCACAGAACCTCGATATAACGAACCCTCGATATAACGAACCAATATCCGCAGTCCCTTAAATCGAGGTTCCACTATATCAGTACATGTTCAATTCTCCAGGTGTTGTGACCAAGCTATAACTGGGGGTTGACGAAAGTTTTGTCGTCTGCAATGAACGAGGTTGAACTGACCTATTTAATTTTTTGCATTATGAGGAATTCGATGTTGAATGTTGGTTTCTAATAGTAAAACTTATCACCAAATCGCTTTCAATACTATCTTCTGAAGTCGGTATTACTTACCGGATGACTACTCAGTCATTTGTACGAGATGACCTGGGGAAGTTGGGAAAGTTAATCATTGATCCGTAGATTTGAATCGTGATGAAGTGAATCATTCATGAGACACGATTCTTACTAAGACTAAATAGACTAAGTAGCGATCAGTTCCGTTAAAAATCGACCTCATTAGAGTCAGGTGAGGTGTTTTCTGTACAGAGCATATTCTTGACAAACGGGTAACTAATTTCCTTTTAAGGTTGTTGGCCCAATAGCCTCCTTCGCAGCCGTCTTTCGGGATGTCACGCAACGCTCCCCCGATGTTTCTTTCGGGGGAGCGTTGCAGGGTGTTTCACGTCCGTGACTCTAACGTGTCCATATTTAGCTAAATTTGGTTGAGGTCACGGCCATGTTGTGACGGCTGGTTAATATTAGATGAGACGCCTCAAGATGGCATGATTCACTGATTTAAATTAAAAAAACCCTTTCAAAAGATATTGGAGAATAGTGCATTATACATATCGTCGATGAATTATAAAATATTCCAGAGATGATTGAATTAACTCAAAAATGGTTCTTTTACAGCGTCTAATATATTGAAATTTGTTCGGAGGTAATTTTTTAATCTCTTTCGACTGATTGGCTAATATATTTCCTTTGAATGCTGTAATTTTGTAGGATTTCTATTTTTTTCGTCGGGCATGAACTGCGAAAGTCTGCATCTGCGAAAAGCAACTTAATGAACAAAGTCACAATTTCTAGCAGCGTTATTTTTGTGGAAAAGGAAATACTTAATACTCGCAACAGTCTTCTGACGCGAACTGCTGCTCGATAGAAGCATTAATCAGCGTTACCAATGTTATTATATTAATAATGTGCAGAAATAAGTCACCATTCTCTGCTATAAATTACTTCAAAACGATCCAGAGACAAGCACTATCTTTTCGCAGCCTCCGCACATTTCATTCAAACGCGACAAAAACAGGCAATTTTTTGTTCAGAAGTTCTTTTCAGACTAATGACCAACCAGGCACTTATAAATGCGCTCGTGCACGATGCAAAACGTGTCCTTTCATTCACAACACTGAGAAAATATCGGGACCCAAACGATCCATTAAGATCACCGATCACTTCACGTGCACCTCCGCCAATGTAATCTATTGCATAACTTGCACTTATTGCAAATAGATTTACATTGGCGAAACAGGCAGAAGACTAGGTGACCTATTCCGAGAACACCTTCGCGACGTGGAGAGGAATGACAAGGACACCAGTCGCTAGACATTTTAATTTACCTAATCATTCTAAGCAACACATGGCAATCTGCGGTCTTTGTAACGGTGGCCAATTTACCATTTCAACTTTGTTGATATACTCAAATTATTTGAGTGACAAATTACAAAAATTACAAAGTCGCGCAGCTAGAGTAATAACTAAGTCACCTTTTGATACGGGCTCCAACCTCCTTCTAGCGATGCTTAAGTGGGAGAAGCTGTCTCTTCGTCGTAAAAAACAGAAAGCTTTAACTATGTATAAAACATTGAATGAACTTGCCCCAGAATAACTTCAATGTCTTTTCACTCAACGCCATTTTAATGATTATAACATAAGAAATCTTGAAGGAAAACTCTCGCTGCCCAAGCCAAATACTAATTACTTGAAACGAAGCTTTTGTTATAGCGGGGCTTGTTTGTGGAATAACTTGCCCCAAGATTTGAAAGGCGTTGGTGCTATTGGGCAGTATAAACGGGGTATTAAGAAGGTATCTGAGATATCGGATTCCCACACGGCAATCATGTAAAACAGTTGTAATAGTTTTAGTTTTTACCTTTAGCTTAACTGATGATTCTCCGTGTATAATAAAGTTTACATTGCATTAAGTTTACATTCAATGGTGGGTTGAGATCATGACCCGGGGTTAGTGTAAAATTTGATTTCAGATCTGAAAGCTTTAATAGAAAATTCAGGTTAATTTCGTTTCTCTACAATTTGATGATTGAATGCTCTAAAAAGAATTGAGAAAATTATCCCAAAACGGCGAAAAATATAGAAATATAGAAACTTGGATTAAAATTTAACCCTGGGTTCGCGCTAATCGGCCTTTGAACAACTGCAACCAGGCGTTGCGATGGGCAGAAAGGTGTGATCATTATTCTGATATTAAGCATACCGCGGCGGTTATGCGACGAGCTGAAAAAAATCCCATCGACATTTGAATACTATTCAAAAAAAGATTGATCACTTCAGATTTTAAGGCGACAGAAGTGCCAAAATTTTGTCAAAAAAAGAAAAAGAAAAAAGAAAAGAAAACCAAGTCAATTGAGTACTGTTAGCAATTTAAGCTCTCATGAACACTATTGCTAATGCATTTGGTTTACGTCAGTTTCATCATTAATGAAGTGAGAAAGCCAGCCGAAAATTTCTTAAGAAAAGAATCAGACTTTTAGAGTCAATATTTGACACCAATCAGACCCACAGTGAACAGCAACGAAAGATTGACAAATCGTGTCTGTTACATCGAGAAATTAGTGGATACGTTCTTGTACATTAGGGAGTTTAAGAAACCAAGACGGCTACGCCAAGGAAGACTTCGATTAAAAAATGAATTTCTACTCTTAGTTAGAATTTCAAAAATGGCTGCAGGGGCTTACTATCTCATACAGCGACACGGCTCAGCTTCAGCATGACGTATAAAGTAGCCGTTGAGTTCCAAATGGAAATTAAAAATTTGCCGTCGCGGTTTCGGTTCGCAGACGACGCAAATTTTGGCGATTTCACGTTGTTGTTTTGCATAGTACGGCTAAGACATGTACAAAGTTTCAAAACGCACGTGCTGGGCCATTGTTCTGCCAATTAGATCTCTTGTTTTTCCACGTCTTCGTTGCCGTCGCGGTCGTGGTTTCTTAAGGTCCATATTATTGAGGCATGGGGTTGCTCTAATATAATTACTGATGTTAACTGAAGTACTTTCTAGCACTTCCAAATAGGCGATCGATATTGATACAGAATGTAATGAATCAGTTGACTTTCTCCTCTATTTACCCAATATAAAACCACAGTGAATACGTTACTGGTTTAGTTTTAAAACAAATTCGCAATTATCTAGGCAGTAGCCTCCTTTTTTCTTGGCAAAACTAATGACGAGAAGCGGTTTCCCCTGCAATCAAATAGAGGTGTCTATCTGAATAGAGACGGCAGAATACTTGTAAATAATTTGGTGTGGCTCACATTTTCGGCTAAATGAAAAGATATTCGATTTGGGAAAATGTTTCATGCGTTTGACGGATATTTAGCGATGGGCGTGAAAGCCTATGGACTTTGAAGTTACCGGAAGTGTTACAATTAAACAACAGGAAGTCGTTGCTAAGGAAAGGGAGTGAACCGACATTATTTAATCCAAGCGGGAAAGGCGTCGAGCAAAGCCTTCCTTGTTCCCTGAGGGAAAAAATCGAATTAAAAGGGTTCAAAATAATGAACTCAAAATATATTTTGGTACGCCTATGTAAAGGGTCGTAATGGTTCGCAGATCCCTTAGTCGTCGCCCAAGAATGTGTCAACTGGTACTGTTCTTCTCTGCATGCGGCGGCTGGGTGTGAAATGTCCGACTGACGAGCCGGGTTCAGATAGAACGTTCATAAGTTAGAAATACTTTCATTTCAAAGTTGCACTGCATACAAATGGCTTCACATTTTGTTAGCTAATTAACCATACATTAAAGAATTTCTCAGACTGCATACTAAGATTTAGGCAATCGACGGTTTTGATTTGTATGAAATGTGATGAATCACCAGATTATAGGCTGGGAGACAATTAAGATGTTATAGGAACCCATTTTAAATTATGATAAACGAGTCACGTAGAGAAAATGGTCTCGATTAAAGGAATATAGTCAGTACCATATCCCTGACGAACATCCTAAATCCTTCCCGCTTCCTGCTTGAAATAGTAGCTGACATCACCGACTACGTCATAATCATGTGATGTTACCTACCTCCACTGATTAGTCTATATAATTCAGTACCGTGTTAGGCCAGTGAGTGATATGGCCTTGTCAGCAGGAAATATCTTATAACCGTTTCTTAATCGCCTGTCTCGGTGGCCTCAATGTAAAGTTTCACCATGGTTGTTGAACGCTGCATCGCATGTAATAAGTCGGTAAGTCGTTTAAATGACTGAGTGTTCTCAGTCAAACCATAGTGGTGTTTATGTAACGCTTAGTTGAAGTACGTCGTTATAATTTATGTGATACCTCATCGTTATGTCCATCTCGTACAGTTATGTTTCCGGTGCAGATTTTGCACAACTTGTAAGAAGTTCATAACTGATGTAACGAAATAATGACATGTGAGAAAGCCTCGCTTTTGAGAGCAAATGCGCTGCTTTCACGTACAAAGATAGTGAAAAGGTGTTTAAAAAATTTATTGATGCTTCATCTCAGTGCGGCTCGCAAGAAATAGGGCTAATTAACATTCTATCGACATCAGTTTTACTATCAAACAGTACACGTTTATAACACCTCTATTCCCAAACTCTGTTTTTTTTTTTCAAGAGAGCACAAATTCACGTCGTCTCCTTTGCCTTATGTGGAAATGAAGTGAATACTCACATACTTTCCGTGAAACACTCCTCGTTTCTCGTTAAGCCCTTAAGGAAACTTCTCGCGTGACACACAAAATATCACGCCTTCATTTTCCTGCAAGATAATGTTCGGGGTGTATTTGAAACATGCGAACAAGCCCATTATGTGGTTTTGTTAACATTCCAAAGAGAATATCTGAAAACAACGCATTAACAGCAAAGGTAAAGAACCGATAATATGGAAGACAATCAACCCCTCTTCCCCGCCATTTATTTCCAGCTATTTACAAATAATGATACTCATTTTTCGAAAAAAACAAAAAACCATCTCCAATCTCTGCTCCTCTACTACTGGATATTACTCCCCTTGAAGCTGCTACTGAGTTCTGTGATCTTGGTTTACTAACTGATTATAAATTGTCATGGAACTCTCACATAGACAAGATCGTAAGCAAGGCGAATAAAGTGTTTGGTTTACTCAAAAGAAATTGCACAGATTTGAGAGATATTCCTTTGATCAGAACTCTTTACTGTGCCCTGGTTAGGCCTCGACTTGAATATGGCTCTGTTGTATGGTCACCCTTCACTGCCAGAAATATCATGACTTTGGAAAGAGTGCAACGTCGAGCTACTAAGTTTATTTTAAAATGAGAAGATGACTATGATACTCGTAACTCTAAGCTTAATCTGCTTTCCTTAAAACATAGACGATTTCTTTTTGATGTGTTATTTTTTTTTTATGAAGTTATGAATGGTTATGTTGACTTTGACATCTCTTCAACTGTTCAGTTTTACTCTGATACTGCTATGGACTTTAACTTTAAAGAAGAATTACGCCCGTACAAACCCTTGTAAGTTTAATTTGGATATATCAACAAAGTTGAAATGGTAAATTGGCCACCGTAACGATTACAAAAGCTGACGTTTCGAGCGTTAGCCCTTCGTCGGAGCGTTAGCCCTTCGCTCTGACGAAGGGCTAACGCTCGAAACGTGAGCTTTTGTAATCGTTATGGTGGCCAATTTACCATTTCAAGTTTGTTGATATATCCAAATTATTTCGTTACTCCCACCGACGCAGCCCCAAACAGTTTCTTTCGAAACTATCAGCCTTTATCCCTTGTAAGTTTAGTTTTTTTAATCGTATTGTTGATATGTGGAATTCACTCCCACTTTCAATTAGATCAGCGTCTAGCATCTCAAGTTTTAAGTGTACGTGGTGTGAGGAACTTCTTAATGAATCCCAACTACACTGGTGAAATTACCGAAAACTCATAATCACATATTTTTGAATTTTCATATCAGATTTTAATCAATTATATTAATTATATTAAATTATATTGTCAAACTACATATTTAGTTAGGTGGTCTGTCTGAGGATGGGGTCTTGGACTCTTTTACAGACCATCCTTATGGCATTTCCTTTGTTATATGTAATTAATTTATTTTGTTAATTGCCATTAAATTATAATAAATAAATAAATAAATTTGAAGGTCAGGCGCTACCTCACCATATTTTTTTTCTACTCGATTTTCAAGAATTGCAGAATTGACTTGGTTGTACAGCAACCTAAAGATTAGTTTGCTTAAATAAAAGATCACCAAAATCAGGAGAACACTCTTTAAATAGGAAAGACCGTGATGGTTTAGAATAGAGAAAGACTAATCCTGATTGCCGGTTACTTTTACCTGAGACTTAGATTAGTTTAAATCCTTCAAGATGAAAAAAAACAAGAAGTAACTCTCCAGAGGAATGCGCCGACAAATTGGTGCATGGGGAACTATTCCTTGAAATTTATCCTTTGACGTAAGTAAGGTGTCTGTCAAGTTTCGTCCCAAATTTCGTCTGGGGGGGGAGGGGAGGGGCTACTCGGGTTTAACACGCATCAAAAAGTAGAAATAAATGACGCATCACGAGAAATCGGATAAACAACTTTAAGGTTCATGTCAGGCGAAAAGCAAAAAATTCTCAGTTCACGGGGTTTAATTTCGTATTCTCGCTGTTTATAAAAATTAAAAACCCTTTATCTCGTATCACGCAATAACTCCTTTCCCGGTCTTCAAATGAAGAAGCTGCAATATGAGACCATGTGATGGTGTATAGGGACAGTGGGTCATAGATGGGAATATCAACAGCTAGACACAGACATACAAATTACGGGTGAAACTGAAAGCGTTACTCTGTTTTCGTGCTGAAAGCGAAACGCTGTTTGACGTCTAAGGGTAGGCCAGAATGAGTTTAAAACTTTATGTAAATTTCTTAATCGTGTGAGGTATTTTTTTAGGTATTTTCGTGTCCCAGTAACAGAAGCTTATCGCTCAAAAATAGGCTGACACAACTCATACCTCTACACCTGTCTTGTTTGCATTCCGAATTCAAATTTGGCCACATGACGTCATTCGGTAACGAGGCAGACCGGCGTGTGGCCTATTATCAAAGCTCGGGAAGTGTTGCCGGAGTCTGTGAGTCTCTCTGCGTTATATCACTGAGGAATCTCCTAAAGATCTCATTATCTCTATTAGAAACTATGGTCCTTCAACGGTGTTTGGCCTGTAACTCAGTGGTAAGATGAGAAAACTGCAAACTTTTAAGATATTGTTATGGATGAATCCGCTTTTCGCAGCTGCTTGCCTTGAATGCATTTTAAATATTCAAATTTACCGTCGTTCGCTATTTTTCATTTTGTCTTTTCCCTGGATCAGTAAGACAGTGGTATAGTGAGGTCTTCTTACCTCGATTCTTTCATTCATTTGATATTGCTGTAAATACTTTTAAACGATAGTAGATATTTATCGTCTTCGCGAAGTTCGGTGATGGAGGAAAGATCTAGACGGACCGCCCTTCCCGGTGCTGAATTACAAACATTGCGTGCTGATGATTAGCCACATTTTTAAGTTTTTTTTTATAACTCGCTCTCTTACATCGAGAAAGTAAGCGTCCCCAAATTAGGAATTTAAAAGTAACACAAAACAGATATCAAAGACAAACTGAGTGAACCCATAAGTGCGTAACACATTAGGCCGTAACGTCGCCGGTCACATGATTAACTAACTTAGCTTAAGGGTGGACTGAATGCAGCTAGGAGCGCAAAAAATACGAGTTATTTTTTTTTTAAATGGCGCTGGAAAAAACTTTTGAAGAATCGCAATCGTCGGTATGTTTATTCTTTGCCGGCAATCACATTTATGTGATGTAGTATCAGTGAAAGACGGATTGGTTTGCATTCAAATTCCAGGCCCTTCGAGTTAACAATTTCTGGATTTTATTCCCACTTAGAGGGCTGACTTGCGCATATCATGTGTATGTGGTCACGTGTTTGAGCATTCTAAGCTCATTGGCGGAAAACGATTTTCAGGTAAGACTTAACTACAAAACCTCACTCACTTAGTCGCTCTTTAAACACTTAAAAGAAAGATGTTTCAATATATTGAACTCTCAAATACTAAGAGTTTGTGTAAAGACTCAGACCTATCTTCATGGCTCTTGAAACTTCTGATTATCGGAAGTCAACTGCACATCCCCTAAAGTGCATAGACAATTTTCACTTTGGCCGGTATCTGTTTCGAGTTACCTGCAAAACTCAACCCCCAAAACCCACAATTTTGAGCGTTTCGAATCTGCTGCATCAAGTTCACCAAGTTATTTTTGTTTTCAGGTAACTTAAAACCTTTTTAAATCCTTTTGCAGATGAAAAGCCTGAACTGTATTTCATGTCTCAGTTTCGTTCATCGTATCACAGATGCAAAGACTACGTAGAGGTTATGTATGATAATAAACAGTATAAAATCTAACCTTTTTTAATGAACGTCTTTTAATCGATTTTCCAGAATACCGAGTGGAGCTATATTCTCGTTTGGAAAACAGACGAATGAAAAGACTCACAAGAGAAAAGAAGAGGAAAAAAACAGAACCGCCTAAGGAAACACAACTCAAGGTACTGGTAACTAATAGAAAGAATTCATTGTCAGTATAAGTTAACACATGTAAAACAAAGGTAGTGCAGCGGATGCGTGGCTGAAGTTTATTCTGGCGTGTTGTACTTGAAGACGGAAATTTCGTATGTAATCTGCCTCGAAAAAGGAAGGTGGATTGTTTGCTTCAGGTTTTTTCTCTCAAAAGTGCTAAGCCTGATCCTAATAGGCGACGCAAGCTGTTATGCTAATGACGGCGGATATGACGAATGTGTTGGTGGGCCGATGATAAGTCCGAGAATATTGCGTGCCTCAGATCAGTTATTTGTTATTCCTTGCCTCGCAACTAACAGCAAGGTCAAGCCTTACATAAACAAAATTATATGAAAAAAGCGAACTTTTAGGAAAATAGACGACATAAAGGCGCGGCCGTGACTCACTTTCCTTCAGTTATGCATCATCCTGTCTTCTTTGCCTTTCATTGTCCGTCCATGTATATTCGACATCGTGAAAACCACGCAGTGGGCGTGAATTTTAATGGTTTTAAAAGTATGACAATGACAACATTGAAGACACGCCCTAGCAGAAAAGGGTAAAAGCGATTTATTTTGTGTGGTAGAGGTCGTTGACGCCTTTCAAAGCATGGAAAACTAAACGAAATGAGAAGTCTAGTCACATGAAATCATTACGAATGACTCACCCTTCTGGGAATGTTTCACGAGTGTTCTCAGTGTAGATTCTCTCTAGTTATTGTAAACGTTTGCTCGTTTTATTCCCAGAACAACACAGCGATTGATGAAACAGCTTCCGCACATCCCCCGCGTGAAGTTAAGGCGTCACACACATCCGGCAGATCGGGTTTGGTACACCGACGAATGAAAACCAAAAGATTTTCACACACAACTGGCTCTGTACCAAGAAAAACGGTCGTGCCCCCAGAACTAGCGTCTAGGCTTCCAAGTGCTCTTCAAGAAATTAACAGAAGATTGACTGGACAGAATCTGACGTGGTGGACAATACACTTGCTGCAGTAAAACTTCGGACAACGATCCTTCTAATTGAACTTCTCAACGTAAAACATTTTGTATTGCCAACTGGCCACGGGGAAGAGTAGGACCAAAAGCCACCAATGAAATCAACGAACTACCTCAAGACAACATCGATATTGTTATATTATCTGTCCTCTAACGGGCCCAGTATTTTTCAGACTAACTGAAAAACCCTGCACGTGCAGCGAGGTGATTGAATTTCCCTGGTGGAGGAGGGGAGGTACTAAGCCAAGTTTATAGGGAGGGAGTTTCGTTCCGAGATCAAACCTCGATTCCCTTTTACACAATTTGGACCAACACTATTGTTACCCCGCTCAATGTTCGATGAGCCCCTTTTTACTCACTTATTTGATGCGTTCCCTCACAAATTAAACGCTGGTCCTTCGGTTCAAAAGCTTCTCTTATCTTTTCTAGACCCCAAAGAATGAGTTCAGGTCCTTTTTTTTTAACCGGCTCCAGCCTGATAAAGGTACAGGTACCTTTTTGAGCGGCGAATTATCTTAAAGCTCCTTTAAATGGAGAAATCCCCAGCAGTATTCATAGCGAGCGTAACAGGAGGTGGGTGGGTTAGGATCATTCAACGTTGTATATAATTTCTTTTCAGTTTTAATGGCAGCTGATGGGTGGGATAATTCGTACTTTTTTCTTAGTTTTAAAAAGACCAAAGCATTTTAAACGACACGGGGCTTATCAAAGCAAAAATGACTGACTAAAGGTGGGAGGTTGTTGTGTTGCTGTCTCTAGGTGTCAGTACAAAACCCTTTCGCGTCAGTTCGCAACATACTGTTATTTCAGCTAAATAAATAAACAGACACTTCAGTATAATACTCTTATTATGAAGGGCTGGGATGAAAAAAGTTAAAAATGAAGGCATTATCTCAAGCTCATTAATGTCAAAAATTGATTACCCCGGAGACAAGTCTAAAGCGATCATTTTAGCGAGGAAAAGAAAAACATGAAGTTGTCAGTAGACTTGCTGGAATTATTTGAACACAAAACCGTTTGGGAAATAAAGATAAATTCTGCAAAAATTAGTGTTGATCGATATATATCGATTCCATATAGTAACACTTTCGTCATGCATATGCCTTCGATATGTATCAATTAATTCTGAACTAAAAAAGAAAACACTGATAAATCCTATAGTTACTGCTGTCCTACTGCCCCCCCCCCCCCCCAAAGAAAACATGTGTAGTTGCGTCGTGGGCAGATTGCATCTCCTTACCCTAATAATTCCGTCGACACAAATCCCCTAAAAATAAAAAGTCGATAATGATGTTCTCAGGGATTCTTCTGAGTTCAAAGAGAGATATATGAGAAACATGAATCACGTCAGAGAGTTCTGTCGTTTGCATGCGACCAGCAAACTGAAATTAAACCAACTATTTTCGCACAAATGATACTTGCAAAGTTTACCTAGTGGCAAAATGTGTTGTCAGTCGCGGCTGAATTCGAAAAGACTCATTGTGAGAGACTAGTTGTTATAACAGGAGGTACACGAGAGGGGTTTGGGCAAATATTACACAGCTACCCCACATTTTAACGCATGTATGTAAGGAACATTACATTAGTGGTAACTCAATCTTAAACCAGTGGGCGTTTTTTCACAAGTTTATTTTCAAGTGACTATCTCCACACAAAAATTTACAGTTTAATTTATACTTCTGCAAGCACGTTCATTAAAGTCTGTGTATAAACTCGTGTACGCTCGTTATATCTACCCGACTGTTTACATGAACTGGAAGCACCCTTGCGTAGGTGTTATTTTGAGTTGCAAAGCAACGAAGAAACAATTACTCAACAGTAATGGTGTACGAATAGATATCTTTTCAGTTTTTGCCAAAGAAATCATTGACCCGACAAAATGGCCACGTGAAACTGAAGCGGATGTTCCTGACCCGAAAGTCAAAAAGAAAAAAAAAACAATGATGGAGTTGGTATAAACTGAGTAGTTCACCAGAAACTGTTCAGTAAATGAACCATTTCATTAAAAACCCTCGCTCATTTTGAATTGATATATTCCCTGAAAAAAAATTAAATTTTAGATAACAACACGTTACTATCATTTCCCCTTGGGCGGACTCTGTCACAGTATTCGCTTTTTTCGGCTACTTGATTCACGATTCCTATAGATCAGGACTATTCTCAGCAAAAATGTTGCCAGACTAAACAAAATATGTTTTCAGTAAAACATAAAAGAACATTGAGCGTTGAAAGAACAATGTTCGGAAAGATTAACCCCGCACAGATATAGTGTCTGTGGGCGTCAAGTATAATATCATCTGGGCATAACTAACAGGCGATCGAGGGCAAACAAGTAAAATAATTTGACCATTTTCCTATTTCATCCATTTCTTTTGCCATATCATCATCCTGCAAACATTTTACCCGGTGATCACCCAACTTCCATGCAAAAGATTCCTGTTATTGTAAAATCGATGCGAGGTCATGAAAGTCAAAGCAAGTTAAACCAGTTTAATAAAAAGCTGGTTCGCGACGTGGGATGAATAAATTGGCCGGCCTAAACAACATTACCTATGTCTTCGTTTTGTTTTGCCTCGTCTATTCAGACGTTTCGATTTCTTTCTCAGCGAATAATTCTTTATAACTATAATTCTCTGAAAACGAAACAATCGGGGATTTTCGTTATGTAACACCAAGACAGTGGCTTGAACTGTTTTGATCGTGACGTCACACCACCAACGCAACCAGCTTGTGGCTTATTATGTCAAGTTGCGCAAAGATCACTTCATTATAAAACCGTCAGTTCCCATATACAGCTATCCAGTGCTACACAGGAGTTAGCCACGAATTCAACATGGTTCTTCAGCAGTGTTTGGCGTGCAACGCAGTGGTAAGATTTAGACGAGATAGGTTGGATTAAGCTTTGAAATTAAGACAATTGGTCCTCCAGAGTTCATGGTTTGGCTCGCAGATATTCAAATTTGTTGTCGGCCGTTAATTTTCATAATCTTGACGGTCTTAGTTCGCTACAATAACGTGTAACACACTAATTCTGCTTAAAACGTTCTAAAAACCTTCCCATGAATTACCAAAAATGAAAATAGGAAATCTGCTGATAAACAGTGGCTTAAATCTAGCGTTTCGAGATGAAAAATGGCAAGAAATATCGACATTTTATGCGCGTTTGCAAACTTCGTCGAGCGGGCGACACGATGACCGCCGGTCCTTACTGACTTATAATAGGGAACTGTCTACAACGCTCTCTCCGACTCCAGATAAAGCTTGTAATTTATCTTTCTTCAAATACTCTGGTTTGTCTTTTACAGTGAGCCAGGGTTCGTTTGCTTGCAACCAATGATTACAATGTATATAAACAGCATCTTCTTTTGATAGGTTCAAACTTGCTGAGGGCGTAACAATAAAGACATCGAAACCAAACTCTACTGAGAAGCCCTTTCGCTGTTCTGTGGAAAAAAAATGTTTCGCAATGATTTAAGTTCCGCCACAGTGGACTGTCACTCTACAATTTCGGCTTCTCGGCTATCTGTGTGAACTGGCTGTGAATTCAATTGCAGTGACTTAAAATATCGGAATCGCCTTGACCCCTATTCCCTTACGCCTTTCCCAGCGAGCCAGACATCTTTGATCAAAACCGATTTTGAAAGCATGCACGTGTGGAAACAATTTTCCTTTTCGTTGTCACTGAATTCCCAATAAGTTAAACGTTTCCTTTTCAGTCGCTATTCACCCGACCAATTTTCAAACAGCCTGGTCCATTGGCCGTAACGGGTTGTTTTCAACAAACATCTGACACCATCGTCGCCTATACAAGGCAAGAGTAAATCTTCCTTAAGATGCATGGCCATATTTCTTTGCCATACAGGTTAAAACCTCGAGTTTAATCTATCCTCTCTGAAGCTGATTAACTCGAAGTTCTTTTGAAATTTCCGATAACAAGGCGTTCTCAAGACGAATCCTAAAAAAATGCAAATGAGTGAACTTTTACTTTCGTACAATTTCTAGTGTTGTGTTGAAATGCCGCATTTTTTGAACACGGAAGTTGTAACAAGTTCTATAAATATTAACACTGTCGACATTTTTGCCACCCTCCTGTAGATAACTGAATCTTGCCGGTCATGCGCATGTGGTCACGTACTCGAAGACGTCAAAGCAATCGCGGGGAAAAGGTTCTCAGGCAAGTTTATAGGTCACGCCTGCTTGTCAAATTGGTTTATTTTAAAATTTTAGCTAAAAAAAAAAATCAGCAGACGGATAGTATTTCATGTTTTTTTTTTTTTTTTTCTGAAACGGTTAAAAAGTGCGCGTCTGCAGCTATTCATTTTCAAATTGTAATGATGAAAAAGAGCCGTACAGCCGTAATAAGTACTATTTTTGATCTATTTCTGTTGAGAAAATTACTGAGATACTACGAACAACCTGAATGGTCAAACACTTATCGCTTAAAGCACCAGTAAACCCAAAGAAAATTGAACTGTATGAACTTCTCGTGTACTCCCAACATTACGCCGGTAAACCGAGAGCAAGTGTGGTGTATTGCCGGCTTAAATAACGATGAAAAAGTAGTCGGTGAACTTTGCTGTTGTTTTTCCCACAGAATACCGCATTGAGTTATATTCACGCCTAGAAAATAGGAGAATAAAACAGTTGGTAAGAAGAAACAAAAAAGCCAGCGGAAAGGAAACTGACCGACAGCCTCTGAAAGAACGCAAGGTATGATTAGGACAAAGAGAAATGAACTCTCCGAAAAAAACCCATAAAGTAATTCAAATTTTTTTCTCCCTCTTATCGACTTAAGTAAAGAATTAATATAACTGTCACACTTTAAACGTGGACTTCTCTTTAGGGAAATAACCATGTACTACTTTTCACTGATAACTTTCGTTTTATATTTTACACTAGAGCAACCCAAAAGAATCCTTAGCTGCTACGGCAGTACTTAAAGCCAAGACCTGTCCACTTGGTTCTCAAACATTTCACCGAAGAATAAAAGGTAAACGTCTTTCGCGCCCTGTCAACACGCCTTCCAGCGAAACAACTGCTGTGCCACCCGAATTAGTGTCCAGGCTTCCGAATGCTCTGCGAGAAATTAACAGAAGATTGACAGGACAGAATTGGATATGGTGGACAATGCAGTTATCATAAAAGCTACAACCAGCGGTGAAAGAACCAAGGAGGACATCAATAGGAGAACTGGAACCCACGATGTGAATAAAGTGTCGCTTTTGGATATTATCTAATGGTGCAGCATAAACCAAATAGCAATAACTCTGATTGACCGATTTCTCGGTCCAAGGCTGGTTTGAGAACAAAATTTAAAAAACAAAGTGTTAACCGGCTTTCGTGAGAGGAAAGCAAAGAAAGCCTAAGGTTAAATAATGAAACTGAGAAAAAAACTACATCCCAGCCTGACAGACTTCTTGGGTGCTTTGACTGAAAAGAAAAGTCGAAAAATATTAATGCAAACCTTGATATGGGTAGATTTTGTCTAAGTGAGGAGACAACGGATTTGATAAAATGCAGAGGATTTATCAATAGGCTTTAAAGCTGATGGATGATTTGCCGGAAAGACCACACTTTCAAGCAAGGAAGGAAGTTGTCAAGCGTAAAAGCTGTTCCATCCCATAGATAACAAGGAAGTAGTTGATATTTTGAGCAAAGCCAAAAAAGGTGTCATAAGACTCCTGTTTGATCATGTTGACAAATATTTGTTTCCCCCCAAAAAAAGTTACATCAGAAATGTCTCGAAAATGAAACTTATGCGAGTCAAAATAAAAAGTGTGACAAAACGTCTTTAGTGTGCCAGTGAGATAGTATGCAAAGAGTGGAGTAAGAATTCATTAAACTTAAATGATTTGTCCAAAGTTGCTATTGAGTACCTATAAAATTACAATCGATCCAATCAGCTTTATCGGACGAGTATGTAAATTGTTTTTTTCTCTGTATGTAGCAACTGACCGACTGTATCCGTGAAAGAGTGGTGTTGTAATTATACTAGGTATACTGAGTCACACCTCGCGTTTTCAAACATCAATTAATTTTTAGATAATTTCAGTTCCAGACAGTATACTGCGAAGCGAATTAGAAATGTTGAACATTCAAACGAGAGAAAAGACTTCGACCTTCCAAGTGAAAACTGACTTTAATTTAGATGAAACTCTTACTCATCTGATTGAAGAAGTAAAAACTAGGGGGCATAGTTTATTGACGTTGCATACTGATATTGTACACCAGAAACAGTCGACTAAATATCTGTTCCTTACAACATTTAGTTCTCTATCACCTACGGATATCCTGGATCCAAGATCCCGCTTTCCTCCCGATTAGATGAAAGTGGACATGACATCAGTTGTCCCGCTTCGCCTGCTACGTCATAATCATGTGATCTTACTCCTTTAAATCTGATAAAGCTGTATGATTCAGTGCTTTGTCAGCTTAGTGATATTGCCTTGTCAGCAGGAAATACCTTATTTTTATAACCCCAACTCAGTCGCCTCGTTGGCCTTGTGTGTGTCAGTGAGTTTACCGATGGCTTTTGATCACTGTATTGCGTGTAATAAGTTGGTAAGTTGTTATATGAGTGAATTTTAACTAGCTATGTCAATTCCGAGTGCCAGATTAATTTCAAACGACATCTGAAAAGCGTAAGTTCCGGACGGATTTTTTGCCAATTTGGACAGTTTTATCTTTAATACAGTAACAAATCGAGCACAGGTAAACAAGCCTGACTTTTGAAGGTAATGATGGTTCACTAAAACGTGTCTAACTAACCGGAAATTGATTCATTCATAGTGCACCATTTATGCGAAATAGACCTCTGCTATATCCTACGGAAAATTTGAAAATCAAAGTTACTCTTTAAGCTCTGGACAAGACTTTTTCTTAAAATAACTGCTTAAAATCATGCCATGTGTAAATGCTGTCCTTTTTGTTTTATTCGTAAACGTTTTTATGATATTCGCAAGTTTCCGTCAAACACTACTCGTTTATCGTCACACCTGGGAAGAACTCGCCTGACACGATTTCGTGGTCACGACTTCTTCTCTCTGATAACGCGATGCAAGTTTAGATTCCATTCGAAATATGCGAAAAAGCTACTTTTGTGGTTTAGTTGACCCTAAAGCAAGATCGAATACCACAAATCAATGCAAAAAAACAGGGCCGAGTTGTTCAAAACACTATTAACCTAACCCGGGGTTAGTGTAAATTTTTAATCTAGTTTTATAGCTCTGCAAAGAGATTTCGTTTTGTAATTTTTCCCTTTAGTTTCGAGTCATATTGAGAGTAGAACCAACAAAGCCTTAGCTCTTATACGCGCTCTTCTGCATTAGAAATTAAAGCCAAGGTTAACTCTAAATCCCAGATTAGCTTCAACCCCTTTCGAACAACCCAGCCCTGAGGAACAAGGAATACCAAATTAAAATAGAGGTTGCTACTCAACCCCAATTTCTTTCCGGCCATTCAAAGTTCTTGACAGAATTACCTTTGCATAAATCAAACCATTTAAATGTAATTCAACATCGCTACAACATTTTAAGTCAATTGTTTCGTGTATAAAAAACTATGAAATATTAGCTTTTCAAAACACCTAACACCCAAACGGAAAGAACGACTCAGAAACGAACGCGGATGATGATTGACTTAGAATGAAGAATAAATTTTTCAAGGTGCGCAAATTACCACAAACCGTTTGTTACGTTAAATTCTCTGGAGAAATTGTTAATTCACGGTCATGAAGTTATTGGGGCCGAGTTTGGAAGGTTTTTCCTTTAATTTTTTCATGATGTTCCGCAGAGTTTAACAATACACTAGGAATCAGATAAAGTTAATACCCTATGCAGTATATAATTGCTTAGTGACAAGCCAGTACAATCCTACCAGAATGGGTTCTCATGCGATAGCGTTTCTTCGACTTTCTAACAAGTGAATGCTGATTTACTTCAACCTTTTATTTTTCATTTTGTAGTAAGAGAAAGTCAACAACATTGATGCTACTTCTTCCACGCATCCACGGTTTGGTTTTTTTTTTTTTTTTTTTCAGAGTAAAGCATGCATTACATACCGATCATTAAAATAAGGAAATAAGGATGCATTACATACCAATCATTAAAATAAGGAAGTCAATATTTAAATTAATACAGTGAGAATAGAAGTTCTGCGTCAAAGGAGACCGTATACTATAAAAATGGTCTGAATAAATGCATAGTTTCGTAACAGAAAGTTAATACTAAAATAGCCCATTTCCGAATTACCCTCGGCCTCATTTTCAAAGCACCAGGACTCGTTTTGAAAACGAGGCCAAGGGTAATTCGGAAATGGGTTATTATGTGATTGTGTGGTGTACATCGATGGTCAACTTTGCTATTCTTCATTGGAAACACAGCCCTTTCGGCTTTGTTATACAGTCGGGAGAAAACTAGCTGGATATTTTTCTTTTTTGATAGAACTATTTTTTTAAGTCATCTTGTGTCCCAGCAAAAGCAGCCCATTTCTTGCACCTTTACACCTGCCTTGTTTACAATCAATTAAAATTTGGCCACGTGACGTCACTCGGTACCGAGGCAGACTGGCGTGTGGCTTATTATCATAGCTCATATGTTTGTGAAAGTGAGTGAGTCCTAACGCGCAGAAACCCAGACATAATCAACTACAGATTCTGCGATCTTTGCTATGACAAAATGGTCCTTCAACAGTGTTTGGCCTGTAACTCAGTGGTAAGATTACAAAACTCCAGACTTTTGAGACACTATTTTGGATGAATCCGCTCTTCGCAGCTGCTTGTCTTGGCTGTGGTTTGAATATTCAAATTTGCCGTCGTCTGCAAATTTGTAATTTGTCTTCCTTTCTTCTCTTTCTCATCGTACCAAAACTCGGCTAAGATTTTGTAAAATCGTCTTGCCTTGTATTTTTCCCAAATTAAGTTTGCTATTGATATTTTCCGAGTTCATTAGTCGATTTTTCATGAGTCGATCTTCGCGAAGTTCACATTTGAGAAAGATCTAGATGCTCCTCCCTTTCTAGAGCTGAATGATAAACACGCGTGGAAATGCTTTACCACAATGCCTTTGGTAAAGCTCTTATTTTCAAAATAGACTTAAAGTTGAAGTAAATATCGTAACAACTATGATTCTGAACAACCGGAAAGCAAAAATCAGGAAAAAAAAAAACAAAAAAAAAAAAAACAGACTAAACCATTGCGAGCCTGTTCGACCTAGAGTTTAATATGCTGCTCACATGACTTAGCATCTCAGCTTAAAAGGCGGAATGAATCCAGCAAGCTTATCCCTGAAAAGAATTGACTGCACTGAAGTAGGACTAAAAAGGTTATTTTTATTTTTAAACTGCTTGCATGCTCCGCACCATTTCTATTGATGTGGGCGCAAACATAAGTGGAGAATTGGATCTCAGTGCTAATCAAAAAAACGCCCAAGTGGTAACGACTTTAATTTTCTCGTTCTCTTATCTCACTCAGAAGACAGACTCGTGCACTTCATGTGCATGCGGCCACGTGTTTGAGCACTGTAAGCTGATTGGTGGAAAGAGATTTTCCGGTAAGCCCTAACCATTATATAGTAGATAGCCCTCAAAGCGGGGAAGTTTTCTCATTATTCTGCATTTTATTTTTATTATTTTTGTGAATATAATTCGCGTCTTGTAGTTACAAGTCCGGCGATGTATACAACTCTCATAATCAATAACTAAAGCTATCGAGAACTCAGACTCATTTTCACTACCCAGTCGCTTCCATACGATGACTATTTGATATATCCTCCGGTAGCTTACTCGCTTCCAAGTATCATTTATTCTTTTCCGATGCTTAAAATGACGTTAAAAGTCTCTTATTTTTGTTGTTATAATTCCTAACTCAAATGCGTTTTGGGATTGAAGGAGAGCGTGTCATGTGCTACGGGTCAAACTAACTCATCAGGAAAACAGTAGCTTAAATTTATAACAATCAATCGAAATCTGAAACATTTTGCAATTAAGTAGTAAGGTAACAATTTGCCCTATTTTTGAGTTGGGGGTAAATTCTTAATGACTGCCTGTTTCCATGGGAAACAGTGAGTTTTGTTCAGTTCTCCGAGCCCTCAATGTTCTCCTCAGCGTCGCTTAAGGGAATATTGGGGGCTTGGGGAAAACAAAACAAACAAGTTCCCTTAAAGATCAGTCATTAAGTGCTCATTCAAATGAATTCCCATGTTGGAAAAATCCCGAAGGAAGAGTATAAATCTCTCCATATGCCAGTTTTAAAACAATCTACCAATTGAACTATGACGTCACTATCCCTCTTTTCTTTTTTTCAGAATATCGAATGGAGCTATATTCTCGTTTGGAAAACAGAAGAGTGAAAAGACTCACTCGGGAAAAAAGCAAAGAAACAGAGAATACTAAACAGACACGACACAAGGTCAGGGAAGTAGTCTAGCACCGGGAAAGCTAAAGGTTCCCGCTTTCATTGGTTTACTTGACACTAAGGGAAAACAACTGAGGAGATAAATTAGTATTACTCATCAAGCTTATATCTCCGTTTCATAGAAACCACGCGCTTTCAAGTCGTATCGAAGTGTTAGTAATCCTACAAAATTTCCACCTTCACATTTCTTCAAAGGAAAGATTAATTTCGGTCCTTATTGGAGACGTCCGCGGGTAGAAATCGATCGATGTTGCTATGCTTCCTTGCAAACGAAAGCTGTGCAGCTATTTTTCTCCTTAACGTTTTAAGCTCCGTTATTTGCTATGTGGGTTGATTAAGGGTTTTGAATCCCTCCCTCCTTGACGATCCTTCAAGCATGTTAAGCTTTTAATTCCCATTACGTTTGAATAAAGGATTTTGATTACTTGCAAACTTATCTACTTACTCCCCTTGTATTCTGTTTTCTTAATCATCGTCTATTGACTTTATTCGACAGTTTTTCCGATATGACGATAGTTTTGTAAGACGCAAAAAAAAAAAAAAACAAAAAAAAAAAATGAGTAAAAATTACCAAAATGTCATAACATCTTTTTCTATTATGTATGAATACTGATCAAGCACTTGTCTTATTCCTAGACCAGGGAAGCGACAGATCAGACATCAGCAGCCATGCATTTATCCCTTAAACAAAGAACAAAGACACCCAGCCAATCTGTTAACCGACGGATGAAAACCAAACCATTTCCACGCACAACTGGCTCTACAGCAAGCAAAACGTCCCTTCCCCCAGAATTAGTGTCCAGGCTTCCTAATGCCCTTCAGGAAATCAACAGAAGATTGACAGGACAGAATCTGATATGGTGGACAGTTCGCTGGCTGCAATAACCATTCAAACATTTCAAGTTACTGAAAAACGACTTTCAAAACTTGAAATATTTCACATTCCCTATGAGCCTCAGAGTGGATTACAGTCAACTGAGTCACGATATCAATTCTGAAACTATTCAAGACTGTACTGATATTTCCGTCTTTAGATGGGCGTCAAAAAGGCGGGGTATTTTATTTGAACTGATTAACAAGTTCGTGTGTCTTTCCGCACGAATGCAAAGCATTCCAAATGATTGTAGTCGTTGGTTGGGAGTTCATCCAAGCAAAGGTGACCCGCCTAAAGATACTGTCCTTTTGTACTTGTAAGATGCCAGGCATTCTTTTTCATTTTAGTACGTCTGTTATCTGTAAATAAACAAAGCCAAGATTAGAGTGCACTTGGAGAATTGGTGATTTTAGGGACTATGTAAAGAAGTTATTGCATAAAGCTGTGAGAGAATCACACACCATTTCAAAAAAAAAAAAAACACTAATTTGATAGTGACGACGATTACTTTTTTCTTATTCATATTCTACATGCTGTTAACGAGACTACCATCGTATACATTACGATACTGCTATAGGGTAGCATACGATATTTCAGTTACTTTCTCTTTTTGCACAAAAAATATTAAATATGGTAGTTTTTTTATAACACAAAGAAACACAACAAACGAAATGTAATAACATTTAACATAACAGCACCTACGCTACTTTCGATGCAATTTTTGCACTATTTTTATTTTCGCAATACCGATTATCTTTCACTACTTGCGACATAAATGATAAAACCAGTAAAAATTAAAATATTAACACCAAAAACAATGGTGTAGCTAGTGTTACTTACGGTATTCAATTGCGAGCAATACAACACTCTTACAGGACAGGCGATGGTGACTTCACGTGTACAAGCTAGTTTGTATAAAGCACAGTGAAAAATTCTTAATCATTTTAACCATAAGAAGACAGCTGAAGCCAAGGTAGATAGCTATAAATGTAGCGTAATTTTATAGCAATTAAAATTTTGAAACTGTTTGAAAGTGAAAAGCCAGGGGGAAGGATTTAAACTCTGGCAAGTCAGTCATATTGCGGAATACTGAATTATGGCTCGATTCCATATGTTGTGGCGGTTTTGTCATGACAATAACATGTAAATGTATCAAATGAAAACAATGAAAAAACTATGATAATTCTTATCGTAGATGCGCTGACCCTAGAAGAAAAATAGTTTCAAAGTGAGAAATATTGGAGTAAATGCAAAAATGTCTTCCGGATCCGGAGTCACTATTCATCATCCAGAAATTGTGACTCTTTTAGGCATTTCTACGTTAATTATACCTTTTCTCGTTTTGTCTTGAGTTCAAACAATGATTTTTTTTATTACATCACACTTCATTACGGCAATAACTGCTACACGAAATCATGTGGGACCAAGAAAATCATATTAAAATGGTTTTCAAGTGATGTAATCTTTGCCCATTCCACTTCAGTTCCTTATCACAACGTTTAGTTGCCGGCCGTGCCTCAACAGTTTGAAATGAAAGAAATGTTGTAAGTAACCCTTGTTCTTTAAAGGAAATTATGAAACGGGTTCTCAATTATTCGAAATTTTAGCGAACGCACGTAAGAAACAGTTTATATCTAATTAATAGTTATGAGTGGCAACTCCAAACAAATGCAGGCGTTTTAGATTTTAAATATTTGATAAGCTATATCAGAAAAAATTCACGATTGTACAATTTTTCGCCTATGTACGTCACAGCCCATTATACTCGTGACAACTGATTTCTTATTTCCTATTTGACCATTCTCAAGCCGACACAGGAAGCTTGTCAATGGTTTTTCTACCAAGCTCATTAGAGTTTTCTTTTACCGAAATGATCTTCGACTAGTTCCCTGACGGCGAAAAGAATAAAAGAACAAGCGATTAGGTACTCCTTATCCTTACTCAGTTACTTTGTTGACATATTTTCTGATAAGAAGTGAAAAAAGAACAACGATTTTTTTTTTTTTGCATTAAACTGCCCTTCAATCCAGGCAATAGAAAAGCGATTATTACATAGCATTCCTGCTCATAATGGAATGATGCCCATCGTGGTCTGTATATGAGCTCAGTGTCTTCGGCCACTGGATTTTCTTTTGACATAGATAGGGCATACACTTGCAAATGGATATTGCTGAACTAAACAAAAGTTATTTTTAAAATATGAAAGACACCATGCGTCATGCGACTGTAAGGTCACATCAAGTCCGCACAGACAATAGCACTTCGGTCGGGCGCCAAGATTCTGAGATCGGGACAATAACTCGACCTAATCTACTAAAAATTTAAGGAAAGAGCAGATGAAAGAATTAATTTGCCAAAAAGACCATTAATAATTTTCCCTTTATAGTATTTTGCTAAAAAATTTTTAGATGGCCGATCGCCCACTTCAGCCTTTATAATTTCTGATACTTAAGATCCATTGAGGGTCAAACAAGTCAGTGCAAGTAAAACCGGTTTTACTTACTAAGTTCGTTCGTTACGTGGGATAAGTGAATTGGCCCGTAAAAAAAAATATCCTTCCAGCTTTGTCGTCGTATCCTTTTGATCTGCCGTAAATTCAGGCATTTCGATTTCTTTTTCAAAAAAGAAATAATTATGAAACGATTCTTTGAAAATGAAATAATCATTAGTTTTCGATTTGTAAAAGCCGAGACAGTGGTTCTTTGCGCAACTTGACACTGAATAAGCCACAAGCCGGTTTGCGTGGTGGTGTGACGTCACGACGAAAACAGCTCGAAATCGATTACTTCACTACAAACCTTCAGTTCCCATATCAAGTACTGCATGAGAGTAGGCTGAGCAAGCCACAAATTCACCATGGTTCTCCGGCAATGTTTGGCATGTAACACAGTGGTAAGATTTAAACAAAGTTTGTCTTGAAATAAGGTCAATTATTCTACAGGAGTTGTTTAGATCGGCGATATTCAAATTTGTCGTCGTTTCTTAATTTTAATTTCATAATCGCATGATCAACGGCTCTTAGTCCGTGAAACTATATCGCATTACGTGCGAGACGTTAGAAATCGCTGTGAATTATCCAAAGGGAAGTTTGAAAATCGGCTGTTACTTGGCTGGAATTTGAATTAAAGATTTCGAGGTTCAAACATCGCAAATGATGCACTTAAATGCACGTACAGTTAGCGAGTGTTGGCGGGCAGGCGAAGCGGCGGAGGTAGATAGCCCAGTACTGATCTGAGAAAACTATTTACAGGGCAACCTCTCCTGCATAAATATTGGCCGCTTGTAATTCATTTTTTAAATACTAGACTTATTATAAATGAAAGTAAGTTCGGCTCGCCGAATAAAAAAATTCATGATATAACTTGTCTGCAAGAAATAGTCGGTGGGCGTAACAAAGACAAGCATATGATCGACCCGGACATAGGTGGAACCTTCTCTGTGTTTGTTTTGTCGAACATGCCAGCGAAATGCTTTATAAAGAATTTCCTTAACGTAAGATGTATTGACACTGTACAAATTTTGCCTCAAGTTTCCTTCCTTGTAAGCCTAAAACTCAACTGCGTCCAAAAATATCGCAGTCAACCTGACCTCTATCTTTGATGCCTGTCTCAGCGAGCTAGACAACACGCGTACTTTCACGGTCTTCCATTTTCCGAAGTCGATGTCAAACTATGTACATTTACGACAAATGAGGGATTTCATTTGTTTCGTATTTCAGCGTCAAATGGTCGTGTATTTTTCAAGTCAGCTTTTTCAGCTTTTCCGTTGAATGAAACGAGTCTTAATTAGGCAAACGGCGAACAATAGTCCTTAAAATACGCCCAAGCCAAAGAAAAATGTGCCCATAGCTATAGATGGCCATACCTATATGCCGTTCAGATCACTTACGCGATTGAATACTAACTGAACCGATTGTCAGCTCTGAAACTCACCTGTAGCAAGAATTCTTCAGAAAAGCGCAATCAAATGCAAATTAGCAAATTTTACTTTTGTTGAAGTTTCGTGTGGCGTGAAACACGGAAGTTGTGCTCGGTACAGTTGTTCGAATATTAACATTACCATCCTTTCCCTCCCCCGGTAGATGACAGAATCTTGCAGATCATGCGTTTGTGGTCACGTGTTCAAAGACGTTAAAAAGATTGGTGGAAAGAGGTTCTCAGGCAAGTTTCCAATTCAGCTAAGATAAAATCACTTTTCGATTTAGATTTGAATAACATGAGCAGGTGAATAACATTTACTGTAAATCTCTAAACGGTTTGGAAAACAACCGAGTATTATCAAGTGGCCTGTGTAAGCTTGCGCTTATCAATTTTGATCATCTCTGAAAATACCCTTGAAGGCAAACAATAAACTTTGTTGTTGTTGTTTTTTAACAGAATATCGCGCTGAGTTGTATAAACGACTGGAAAACAGGAGAATCAAACGGTTGTTACGACAAAACAGAAAAGCGAGCGAAAAGGGAACTACCCGACAGCCTCTCAAAGAACACGAGGTACATATGTGACAGAAAAATGGAAAATTATTCTCAGCGGGCTCAGAATAATAAACACGTCACATGAGCCTTTCCAGTTATGTAGACTTTGGAACTCGTTGTTTTCCCAAGACTTAGCTTGAGCGAGGGACGAGGGAGGACAGAAAAGCCAAATGCTGTGTTTTGAAAGGACTGGCCAATAGAGTTATCATAGATAGACCGACTGTTTGTCTCCATTACTTCCGAAAACTCGCTTAAAATTTTAAAAGTAATTTTCGTGGATCATACTAAAACAGCTTACTACATACATACATACATACATACATACATACATACAAACATACATACATACATACATACATACATACATACATACATACATACATACATGTGTTAATTGGCCATGGGAGCTTTTCAGGGCCAATTTCCACCCAGCAACCACCCCAGGGGAGGACTTCCATCACACAGTAATCTCGTGTATGGGAAATTAACGTCTCCTTCCCCTAACCCTGCAGGAGACGGGACCTCCATTTATTCGTCCCTATCTTAGAAGACTAGAGTATCTAACCGTTTCTTGATATAGAAAGGTAGCATATTCTTCTCACTTGTTTTAAGACCTTGAGTGTTGGTCCGAAAACTAATAAGTCAAGGAACATGAGATCTTTCCGAAAAGGAGAACTCGAATTGGAAATAAGTGTCACTTTAAAAGTAGTAGTCATGGCATCTCTCTCTGAAGTACCAATGCACGAACTACATGTAGAGACAGAGATTTCGCGCGGACCTGGAGCGAACTCACGTGCGTTTGATGACTAATCGCGACCTGGGTCATAGAACTTGAGATTCACAAAATTAAGATCAGTCATCAACGACTCAGTAGTAAATGTGGTACGAAATGACAGAACTCCACCTCAGAGCTGATGCGTTAGTTTCATTGCAAATGGTCAAATTTAAACCAAAAATCATCTTTAATTACTAATTACTATGTGTCAGAAGTGTTTAGTTTTTATCTTTTTATTGTAGGGCAACCGGGAAGAATCCTTAGCCATTACTTCAGCCCTCAAGCCAAAGACCCACCCAGTTTATTCTAGACCACTTCACCGAAGAATAAAAGGCAAACGATTTTCGTGCACAGTTAAGCCGCCGTCAGACAAAACAACCAGTGTGCCACCAGAACTTGTGTCCAGGCTTCCAAGTGCTCTGCAAGAAATCAACAGAAGATTGACGGGACAAAACTTGATATGGTGGACGATGCACTTATTATAATGGCTACGACCATCGAAGGATAAGCTAAACAGGGGACAATCGAGAGAGCTCGACTCTGTTTTCCCCTTGACTTTTGATAAAAAATGGTTATGCACTGTTACCAGGTAGCAGCCCTGGCTGCAAGACATGTACAATTCTGGTATCAGACTTGACTTCGGCTGACAAACGCACAGCACTGAATTACAGAACCAAACGAAAGCGTGTCAGACCCTTGGAAAATTAGTGTCTCCAGCTCGTATTTATGAAGTAGATAATCAAAGTCCAAAGAACATTACGATGTGTGGATAACTATGATCTCGGGAAAGGAGATAGAGCTGTTAACTATAGACACTTTGTATTTATTTTATACTTTTTACTTCAAAAATAATTCGGTCCGAACCATAATCTACCTGTCGATAAGAAGCAACTCTTTAACATCTACTGGCATTTGAGAAACCGGCTACTAGTCGTTTCGTACCCACGATCTTTTCGTACCCAATCGTTTCGAACCCCTCATTTTTTGTCTGGATCGATTCTTACCCATTCAATTGAGTCGTTTCGTACCCAATTCATACGAATAAGTATGTTAAGTGAAATTTATTACCGTTAATTATAATGATATAGCCAGGGGAAAAAAAATCACACTTTCACTATAGCAAGTCACAAGCAATAACAATAGACTGTTCTGTTAAAAACATCACAATTACCGTGCGCTAGGCAAAATTTTAGTTGTTTTGGTTGGAAAGTCACAAGTATACACTAAAGAATTTTGCTTGTATCTTACTTGATTATTTCGCTTGACTCTACTGAATTTGGGTACGAAACGACTGGACACCGAGAAACCGTGACCATACCAAAAGCTCATTTTGGTTTTATCATATATTCATTGTATCTGAATTGATAAAGCAAAGCAAAGCAAAGCAAAGCAAAGCAAACTTTATTTACACAGGGTAGCCCATTCAGCTCTAAGGCTGGTATCCATAGGGGCCCTGTATTGAAAATAATTTACATCAAATTTCTAGAATAGATATATATGTATATATAATGACTAAGATTTTACAACTGCATTAACAGCCTAAAACTACAAAGCTAAAACACAATTAAAAACATAACATAGTAAATAAAATATCAAAATTATCAAAATTACGGTAAAAGGAAATGTTTTGCTCGGCGACAGAACGTTTGAATGTTTTCACTCTTCACAATGTTTAAAGGAAGTTTATTAAAAATTTCTGCGCCAGTAAAAAGAAAGGTCCTTCTCCCAAAATTCTGTTTTACTTTTGGTAGGGATAGCCTCAGACTTTGCCTCGTGGAATAATTGTGAATATTCGAAAATCTGGTAAAATATGATGAAAAGTAACTAGGAACTAATGAGTGGAGACAGAGAAAAACGAGTTTAGCCTTGTGGTAATAGCGTCTACTGGAAAGAGTCGGCCATTGCAGCTGATCTATTGCTTCAGATGACCGAGAGCAACGTGTAATAATCCGTGCAGATCTATTTTGTAAGCGCTGTAGTCGATCTATATCTTGTTGTAAAAGGTTACTCCAGGCAATGTCACAGTAATCAAATAAGGGAAGAATTAAGGTATTATGAACAAGTATTGCTGCCTCTTTTGTGACGAAACTTCTAATGCGGCCCAGAATACTAACTCTTGACGCCACCTTTTTACACATATAGTCTGCGTGAGCCTTCCAAGTCATAAAATTGTCGAACACCACGCCTAGGTATTTAAAAGTAGTTTCGCAAGAAATGAGCTTTCCGATAAGATTAAGATTTAAAATACAATCGCGCTCTTTATGCCTTCGAGATGTAAATAGTACACACTTAGTTTTTGAAACATTGAGAACAAGATTGTTGTCTTCTAGCCATTCAGATAGACATTGAAGATCTTGATTAAAGTAAAAAGTTAAATTGTCTACTGTTGGGCCAGCAAGATATAAAACTGTGTCGTCAGCGTACATATTTACAGAACAGTGTTTGACACAACGTGGTAAATCATTAATGTAGACAATGAATAACAGGGGTCCGAGGATGGACCCTTGTGGCACTCCAGAAGTTATAGCAAGCTCTTCAGATGAATGAGAATCAATTTGCACGAACTGCTTTCTTCCCGTAAAGTAGTCCTTAAACCATAGAAGGCTTTCCTCGCATATACCATAGTACTCTAATTTTCTGAGCAAAATGTCATGGTCAACTGTGTCGAAAGCCTTTGCCAGGTCAATAAACACAGAACCAGTAACAAGGCCCTTATCCATATTCAGGAGAATCTCGTCGGCGAAATAAGTTACAGCCGTCTCAGTTGAGTGCATTCTTCTAAAACCGGACTGTAATTTACAGAGCAAGTTATGATCATCAAAAAAACTTGCAAGCTGCTTGTGGATTAAACGCTCTAGGACTTTAGATACCACTGGTAATACCGATATGGGGCGGTAGTTTCTTGGGTCATCTTTTGAACCTGATTTATGTAAAGGGGTCACCTTCGCTTTTTTCCATTCTGCAGGGATAACGTTTTGTTGGATAGTTAAATTAAAAATGAGCGATAGTGGATAGGCCAGGGCGTCTGATCCGTCTTTTAGTAGACGAGATGGAATACCATCAACACCTGTAGCTTTCTTCGGTTTTAAATCTTTAAGAGCCTTTCTAACTTCCGTCACGGTGATCTTTCGTAGATTAAATTTTTCTGGGCGGACAATTTGCGGTAGCCATTTGGAAAAGGATCGCGCGGTTGATCGGTGGATCGACCTTAAATCTTCGGCACAAGAGACAAAGAAGCTATTGAAGGTGTTACACTTGTCTTTTGCTTCATTAGCTGTACGAGCAGTAGCGCTGCTACTCTTTGAGCCATTTCCGAGTAGCCGTTTTAGGTTTTTCCAGGTCCCACGGGAATCTCCTCTTGTCTCCTGGAACAGTTCGTTGTAATATCTTTCTTTCTCTTTTCTGAGCTTCAAAGTCACAACATTGCGTAAGCGCTTGTAAGAGCTCCAATGAAGCTCATTGTTTGACCTCAATGCCAGATTATGAAAGCGGTCTCTGAGTNCGCCATATCGACTGCTCGAGCTGCAAACTCATTCAGCGCAGTTTGAGCTATTTTTGCCTTGAAGTCGCTTTTCCAGCGCTCGTTTAATCCTTCCAAAGGTTCTTCACCAAGCAGACTGCCATGTCGAAATATTTTATGCCGGTTTACCGGCAAAATAAAGCAAAGAAGGTGAAATAAGTAAAGAGCTGCCGAGATGCCAACCAACCCTCTTGGCGCCATGTCTCTTCTCGTTTGATTGAAAGGACCACAGGTAAATTAAAGTAAATTAGTCACCGTGAAGAGTTTCAAAGCTGACGTTTCGAGCGTTAGCCCTTCTTCTGACGAAGGGCTAGCGATCGAAACGTCAGCTTTGAAACTCTTTACAGTGGCTAATTTACTTTATCAACTCAGTTGATAAAACCAAATTTTCTAGTTACTCCCACCGCCGCAGCACCACAGTTTCTTTACAACTTGCTCCCTTTCTTCATACTATACTAAAAGCTGTTTTGAAAATGGTTTCGTCAAAAGTACTGTCCACTTACAAGTGCTACTACCATTGAAATTTGAAATCATATCTGCATTACTGGAATTTTAGGCAGTTATTTGGGGACCGGTCATCATTTATTCCCTGAACTTCCCAAAAGTATATGTATCCTGCTGATTGGTTGGCCTGGGTGAATAAGTATAACGAATAAAATCAATCATATCTTTTTTGTATGAGACGTATGTATACAAGGCTAGGAATTTTACAACAAGTGATTAAGTTTCTTAGTTTGAGTACATTTCAGCTGGCAGAGATCCTATGAAAGGATAGAAGCAAATTATCAAAGCGGTTTTATTTTGCCACGCATGATTGCTTCATAACGATACCGTTAGTAGTAGCTAGGGTCATTTGAAAAATTGGCCTTTGAACGGAGCTACTGAAAGTTTTAACAGTGATTCGCGCTTTCGTTTTGAAGCGTTACTGTAGCTTTGAAGGTTTCTGATGTATGGTGGCCGTTTATTTTTGTTCTGGTTGCCAGAGGAAGCAAGTCAAACTAAAAAACAAATACAGATTTTTTTAAGTATTGAATAACATTTGAGAGTCTAACGAAATTTAACTTACAATTCGTAGGACATTCCATACATCTTATAGATCTTTTCGTGATCTCTGGCTGACCGTTATTTTGAATATTGGATTCTTCGCGACTTTAAATAAAAAGAGGGGTTGGTCCCCAGACTCCCTGGGACAACGCTCTGGCGCCAAAACTATAAAACACTAAGTGCAAATCAAACAGAGAGACTATTTGAAGCCAGAGTGGTCATGGGGTCTTACTCAGTATACTCTCAGGTAATTGTCACTGCGACAGGGCATTTTATTAATGAAATCAGGAAGAGCACTACTACTCGATCCAAATAGTTTTGACTTTATGAATGCAGGTGTGACAGCGAGGGTGAGGAATATACAGGGTCAGTCAAGGACATAATAAAGGACATCATATAACAAAATTAATTGGTTAGAGACTCCATGCACTCGAGTTATTTTCATTTAACAGCCTTTAAGACCAGCTTGAAAGTGAAATAGAGGGTTTTTATAAACGGGCTGTACAAATGAGATCGTTGGAACGGAGGACTTGAATTCGCCAACGGGACTTCCAGTGCGATGCTCAACGAGTTTGCTGGAAAATTCCGAAACATTGTGACATGACAGCCACGAAGTATTTTGGCCCACGTATTTAATAACTTTTTTTAAAGTATAATTTTTTTAAGAGAGGAACTCTTAAACATGACCGCATTTATTTGAACAAATCTTAGATCAGATGGAACACTCGGATACACCGACCCTGTAACCTATTATGCTGGATAGATGGATGGATGACCTTTATTTAAACACGATAAAAATTTAAAGCCACAAGCTCGCCGGGGTCGTGCTTATTCTTGATCTACTGTTTTTCACCTTTGTTTTTTCTCAGTTGGAAATTACTACAGTGAGAGGAGGTCGGTCCGGTTTTAGGGGGGTTATCTATATCCCTGTACCTCTGGAAATTGTGAGGAAGTCGGTTAGGTTTCAGAGAGCTTATCCACATCCCGTAACATGGAAAAATTGTCGGGAAGTCGGTTCAAGTTCATAGAGCTTTATCCACATCCATGCAATTCTTAACATTGTAAGGTAGTCGGTTCAGGCTCAGAGAGCTTATCCACATTCCGTAACTCGGAAAATTGTAGGGAAGTCGGTCCAAATTGACCAAGTTCACAGGGCTTATCCACATCCCTGTTAAAAAAGAGGAAAAAAAAAATAACTAGTTCATTCATGATGATAATTACCTTCCAGTAATCTTAAAAAAAGTGGCAAGTATGTTTTTTAATCAATTAGCAGAAGTGTTACCAAAAACAATAGTTTCGAAACGAATCATTGCTTTTGAACTGTGTAACTGACACGGTGGAATGGAAGTATCCATATTTTTATATCTCAAAAATCAGTTCAAAATTTATGACCCTTCGATAGTTATATCGTATATATGTATGTATATATATATATTTATTAAAAACTGGATCACTGGATAATGCAATAGGCTCCTTGCACTAAGAAGTCACGTGATCTTCTCCGCCATGTTGGAGGGCAAACAAATCAGTTGCTACGGGAAACTATGGCTGCCTCGTGGGGTCACGAAAGGTCAGTTACACAAATATTTTCAATATTAGCTTCTTTATTTTGGAACAAAACGATCTTTGTCCACTCGTCAAATTTGCATAATGCCCAAAGAGCTTCTGTGATCGAACATTTGTATTCACTTTTACTTCTAACGCGTCGGGAACGAACGAATGGCAGGCGAAAGTTTATTTAAGCTTAATCCTATCAACTGATTCATTCATTCATTCATTTATTCGATTTTTCGCAAGAGTTCTGCTCTTTCTTTGGGTTAGGTAAAGATTGTCAAGAATTGTAGTCTAGTTGCATGTCTACAAAATGCGAAACTTACCGAAGGTTGACGCTATTTAGCTTTGTTTGATTGGACTGATTTTCTCAGTAATCCAAGTGTGGACCCTCACGTTTACCGAGTATAACCTTCACCGATGTAGAGAAATATGCAACACGTTGTTGCCCATANAGGCTCCAAAAGATCTAAAATTCCACAACACTGTGATCTCTTTATCTGAAATAGAACCAGTAAATAGTGAGGATACAAGTAAACAAACTTATTTTTTCTCACCTTCACTCAAATGTTTTATTCGCTACCATTCTGGAAACTACATTGACTCGACTATCGTCGCCTAACAATATCAACTTAAAAAATAGACAAACCGGCGTTGAAAGGGAGTTAAAAAAAAAATGATATGACATACCAGTTGGCAAAGTGCGAATTATACGAACGCGAAAACACGAGCAAATATGGAGCTTTCCGACACATCAAATACATCAGTAGGTCTGCTACTATTACAGTCGCTCTTTTTGAGAGTTCATAGTGGATAAAGATCGTTTTGTTCCGAAACAAAGAAGCAAGTAGAGCAAATATTTGCGACACTCACATTTCGTCGTCTCACAAGGCAGCCATTGTTTCCCGTAGCAACCGATTTGCTTGCCCTCCAACATGGCGGAAAAGATCACGTGACTTCTTAGTGCAAGGAGCCTATTCGCCTTTTTATTGGCATATGAGCCAATATACCATAATCTAATATCTGTACATTGTAATATCCGGTTTCTTCTTACAAAATTAAGTCGAGGAGATTTGTCTAATATCTCGGGGGCGTTTTTTTAATAAAACAATTATTCCATTCACGCTTGTTGGATATGAGATGATTATAGCCAACTCGGCGGCGCTACGCGCTTGTTGGATATGAGATGATTATAGCCAACTCGGCGCTACGCGCCTCGTTAGCTGTCTATCATCTCATATTCATCGCGCGTTCGTGGAATAATTGTTAAATATAATCTTCCATTTTAATAGTTTTAATAGTTTTACTTTGCTGCACATGTATTAATACCAGCGGTTCCTTATGGAATTGCTGACACATTTTTTGCAGGGTAAATAAAGTTTATTATTAAGGCCAAACTGCCATAAACGGTCCTCCGATTTCATTGGTCTCGGCACAAATCATAGTCATTATCGGCCTAATGACCTTGGCACACCTACAAAACAGTATCACAAAACCAATTGGGCACTTAAAAATATAATTAAACATTTTAGAATAGTATCATCATGTTACATTATCATATTATTATCATTAGGTTATGAATTTGTAAATATACGATTCAGCCCCTGGACTGCCATGTGTTTCGTTATATACTATCTATCTATACCTATCTATCTATCTATCTATCTATCTATCTATCTATCTATCTATCTATCTATCTATCTAGTATCTACCTCTCCTCTTGCATCGAAAACCAGATTGCTGCTCCAGTATCGTCCGGCTGGGATCTTGGCCGATCAAATTAAGAATAGTTTATTTAACGGGCTCATCCAGCGTACCGCTTTTATAGAGCTTTTGTTTTTGTCTCGTACGTGTATAATACGTTGTTTTTCCCTTTGTGCCTTAACACTTGTTCTTTCTCTTAGTTTATTCTATCCAGATCAAGCTTGGTCTTACACGAGTCGACAATGACTGATAAATTCACCATCTTCTTGGGCATTTGGCTGTTGATAATTATTTCATTCGAACTTGCAGTTCGTTCCTTCTGCCTAGAATAACGCCTTTGTTTGGTACCGCTTTATTGGTAGGTTTTTATAATTATTGTCTCCTCTGCAGAGAAAAGTATATCATTGAACTAAATTGAAATTTTTAAGCCGATTGTCGGTTGAGATCTTAACATGAGGTTCTAAGACGGATTAAGCTCACATTGCAAGGGCTCAATTCAATCAGGAACAAGCTGTAATTTTCATAATATCGCTTGCATGGATTAGAAGATCAACGGCAACACGCGTCAAATACATACAACGAAGTTTCTGAGAAAAAAAATTACTAGTTGATACTACTTCATCCTGAACTGAAACTTATTCACCCTGAACTAAAAAGACAAAATGATTTAATGAAAGGAGGCTGCGGATGGAATTGCCCTTGCTAATACTTTTAAGCAATCGCGTGTAAGCTGTAGTTGAGTGAAATTCGATATAAACTGCCGATGTGGTGACACGACATAAGAAAAGGGCACCATCTACGACACTTAGTCAACACAATGATCTTGATTATCCGCTTGGACGTTAGTCAAGAAATATAACTTACACTGTTTAAGTGAAACTTCCTAAAAAAAACTCACAAAAACAAAATATATATACAGAAGGAGCAAAAAAAAAAAAAAAAAAAAACCAACAAAAAAACAAGGACAAAAACAAATAATGTAATGAAGGGGGAGGCTCCTGTTAGTTGGGGGCGCATGAATATTCGTCTTAATGGGGGTGAATCGTAAGGAGGCGAGAAATCTATAATTACGTTTTCACACAGCTGTTTACATATGTTTACGAAGTCTTCGAGCACACGGAACCTCACAACTACGTCAGTTCTGGGAGGAATAAATGTCTCGATGGATATTGTTTTCCTTTGACGAGCTCCGTTACTTGTTTTCAATAACGTTTACGCCCACGACAGTGAATGGAATTTATCGTGCCTCTGAGAGATACCTCAATGAATGTTTCTGAACGAATGTCTAACGAACTGTAGTGACTGACTAATAAGTGATAGTAACGGTTAGTTGTCTAAGAGGTTTCTCGACAATCTCTGTACTATTTGAAGAGTTGACATTTCATGGGTCAGTGAGTGTAAGGAAGGCGGAATTTTGGTGTAACCTCTGGTTGTTATGCATCGCATGAATCGCTATAAATTAGCAGAACACCTCAAAGAACATATCATAAATTCCCAGGCGACCATGAAACGTGATGGAGAAAATTTGCCACTAAAAGCTTTTCAATGAGAGTTTGATGACGAAGTGTTGACTACAGTTTGCCCCGCAGAGATGAGGCGCTGGAGGGCAAACCGACGACAAGTAGTTCGCGAAAGACGTGTTTCAGTTAACACTCATACAGACATGCAAATTTGGCGCGATTTTTCCGCTTTGGCTGCAAATTCCTTCCATTATCTTTCTGCCAATCAAGCTTAGGTTGCCATGGCGAAAGTAAAGTTAATGATTATGCGGAGGTGAAAAAGTCAAAAAAATATTAAAACTCTTTCAAAGGTATCGCAACGACAATTTAGTGGTCGATCAGTGGAATCGGCCATGTCAAAGCTCTAGATCAATGGATGTTGCGGAGAATTAAGAAAAATGCCTAGAAGTAACGCTGAAAGATGATTAGTATCCATCAACACACTTCTCAAGAGAACACAGGCGAGTAACTATAAAAGTCGCGCTTTGAATTTAATTTTGGCAAATTCAACACGAGGGCCGAGAAGTTAACAAAACAGTTTTGTGTTTTACCATCTACCAGCGATGATGATGATGATTTTATACAAAGCCTTCGCTTTGATGGCGGGCGAAGTTTGAACTCCTCAGCTGTGATGCGTTTAATCTTAAAAAATAGGTTCAGAGTCTCATTTGTATATTTTGTGTTGCAAAATAAGCGACGGCATTGATATTATAAAGGCCATTGTTTATGTTAGGATATAAAGAGTAGAAATTACGAGCACTTGACGAACTTCTCTCTTGTTGTATTCAAAGAAACAAAAGATTCTTCGCTGTTTTCAGAATAGGAAATCGCGTTAAAACTTGGGTGTTCGCTAGAAGTCGTTGGCCTTAATTTCCTCCGGAAGCAATCAACCTTGAAATGTATTTGTGCGTTTAAATGGTTTTCTATTTCGCTCGTATTTCAAAGGGAATTACGAACGAGTTATTAGAAAAAAGAATAGAAAAAATAGCGCTAATTTAAGAGCTTTTAAACAGGTAACAACCAATAACAACCGCGCAAAACTAACTTCAATTTTGGACGTTTCCAACGGTCAAGTATACATCTAATTCAAAATATTGTCAGAAGGAAAAAGTTGGTATATTTTTTCTCATATTGAATATCATAAATAAACTCTGTCTCTCTCATCACGCTTTTCTTTTTCCATTCCACAGTTCCTTACGGTCCTAACGCAATAGCTATAATCGCCAGCATTGTTTCTCTTGGAACTATAGTAGTGATCTGCTCTTGGTGTTACAAATGCTGGAAGGGATCAGAAAAGGATGCAGAGAGCACAGAAAGTGACTATGATTCATCCTCGGACTCTCAACTGTATGGAGTCCCAGGGCACAAATACCGCGCATTTGCGAAATACTCGACGCTGTCGGATGTTTCTCCGCCTGAAAAGCGCATCGACTCGCCTGGCTATCCGAAAAAATCGCTAAAATTTTCTCAGCCGCCTCCACAAGAGTACGATGTGCAAGCACCTCAGCCGGATATTTCGAACTTTGTGATCCCACCAGAGCCCCCTCTGCTCGATCAATCATCTTCTAAAGAGGATCTAGGAAAGGTTTACTTCTCAATTAGCTACGATTCCCAAGATATGGTGCTCACGTTGAAAATTATAAAAGCGTCTGGACTTCCGGCCAAAGATTTTAGCGGAACCAGCGACCCGTTTGTGAAAATTCTGCTGCTTCCAGATAAGAAGCACAAAATGGAGACTCGAATTAAGAGGAAAAATCTCAACCCAACATGGAACGAGGTTTTCAGATTTGAAGGTTTCCCACATAACAAGCTCTTGAGTCGAACGTTGTATCTTCAAGTACTGGACTATGATCGTTTTTCTCGGAACGATCCCATTGGAGAAATAGAAATCCCGTTGAGCGATATTGACTTGGGGCCAATGACTCTGACTTTCTGCAAGGATCTACAGCCCTGTAAACGTCAGGTATAGTGTCAATATCTTTGGTCGGTGGAAAAAAAAATAATTTAAAAATAATCTCGTGGTTTTCGACAAGTGTTTTTATCTTCCCAGAAAAATAGGTTTCTTTAGAGGCTTTCACAACGTTCTGATCGTTGTCGTACTCGCATTATTAGCACTTCACGTGTACAACTAATTAGTGCCATAAAATTGTTTTGCTAAATCCCCATGCTCGATGTGTTAATTTTGGTGAACTGGGATAATACCAGGTTCTCGCAAGCGAAATACAAAGAACCTGCTCAATACAGATTGATGTCTTATCGTAAACTACCCATCTGCTAATGACAGATTTTATGAATGACAAATCCACGATGTTTTCATTATAATTTCATGGACAAAACTGGTAAAAGTTTGATTAATGCACGTTGCTCATTTCATGTATTAGGATAATTTTTTTTTAAAAAAACATCCTTTGCGTTAATATGAATATAGCTTTCGGTCACAAAATATACATCATTTATACTCTTTATCAACATTTACCGCCGGCCAGAGGAAATTAAAAGAAGTTTACTGAATATTAATCCCTATTTTCTTGACCGAAAATCACTCGAGTAGCTTTACCTTTTTCTGTTACTGCCTAAAAGATACTCTATGAAACAGATTATTTTGCGGCAAATTTGCCTACAATTCTGTTCATTAAAAAGAAGAGTGGTGAATTATTTATAAAAAAAAAAAAACATGGCTAACCGTTGCACGTAGGTAAAGTAAGATTATAGTTACTGAAAGACTATATATAATTGTAGCTTCTTGCATTCTTTCTCTTAATTTTACATGCTCTAGAGACAACACAATTTTCATGAACTTAGAGTTGTACCACTTGTCGCGAGGCTCTGATAAAAGAAATTTTAAGCCTTCTTATTTTTCACCAAAGAAGCCTACTGAAATTTGAAGGTCTGCAATTAATATTCTTTGGTTATGAGATAAATTTAACTCAAAATGATGCCAATTTGTGAAATAACATTTTACATGAAATTGATCTGATCAATTTTTAAAAGATTCAAACATTTGAGTGAAAGAAAAACACACTTTTCCCTGCATTAAGAAACAAATTTTATTTGAACACTGGGATGGCCATAATGTGTTACGATCATAATCACTGTATTGAAAAGAAGTCATCATTTTTTCATGACAATTCAATGCAAAGCTGGAAAGAGGAAATGCCATGTAATAGTGTCTCGTGTTTTCAGGAAATACTGAGAAAATAAAGTCAAAATTGGAGATCTAAGAAATAAATACGTAGATCTTAACTGATATTTAAATAATCTAATCTACAATTTATGTGCAAAATATGCCAATACTTTGTTTCCCTTTGAGCCAGTTCCCATTAGGGTGGAATGGTAACTTCTAGAAGAGCATAGAAGAAATTCTTTTCATTGTTAAAACAAATATCTGCTAACATGGACTCTCATATAGTGCCAGTACTATTCAAAAGCTTCAGAAAAAGAGGATTTCTTTGATCTTAAATCCACACAAAGCACTAATCCTTGAAAGATGGCTATTTGAATTTGTCCAAAATCCAAAAATAATGTGTGCACTACTGGTATTTAAAATGTAAATTACTCATAGCTTGGGTGTATTACAAAAACAATGAAACAATATCTATTGATTTAGCTACCCAAACAATAATAAAAGGCCTTGAGAAAATTTGGACCAGTGACATCTAAATGGAGAAAAGTAATAAGCATTGTTTAAACATAAAGATTGATGTACAAAAAATGTTCTTTTGTTATCTGGTCTTCCATTTAAGTATCTGTCATGGCCATTCTATCCAAAACTTTTATTTGTCTTATTGATGGAAGACAATAAGTACACAGGAAGATAATTCAAATGAAATAAGCAGGATTTAATGAAAATATTTCTATCTTCAGTTGGTTTCCTGGCAATGAACCCTCACAGATTATGTCCTCAGTAAACATCCATAATACATTACAATGTTCACAATTTATGGCTTTATTACCATAAACAAGCTGTTAAAATTTATTTCTGAGCATAACATGTTGCCTTATCTTGGGAGTATTTCTGTAGGTCATAAAAATGCCAGCTGATGCAACATGCATCTATGTGAAATGTGTTATTGCCAGTATATTACAAGTTAGTAAATACAGCAACAGAAACCAACAAAAGTGCTTGTCTGAGATTGGATTGATGTCTATCCTTTTATTAAAATAGAAATTCTCCTATTCATAGCATAGCCACGCATGTCATACAACTCTATTTGGGAGAGATTTTCAAGTTTCTTAATAATGGTTCTGGGTCTTATTCTGTGATAGGAACACCTGGGGGACCTTCTTATCTCCATGATGTACCAACCCACAAATAACAGAATTGTGGTTGTTGTCATGAAAGCCTCAAAACTAAAGAAGATGGACTTCATTGGGTCATGTGGTGAGAACAATTTTGACAATTGCATGTATTGATTTGAGATGATCAAGTTTGTCCTTGACCCTTACAAAGCTTGAAGTTCTTAAATTACACAGCTCACTGAGGAAGTGTTTAAAGAAAAAAAAATCATCTGAGAGTATTGCTTTGTAGAGGGGTTCATTTAAAATAATTATTACATGAGACCTTGCATGGCTTCTGTGATGCACAGCTGTAAGGCTTGATTACAATGGTCATTTGGTTGGTAGTAGGATATAAACCCATTATTGGACAGTTCAGGTGAAAGGTCTTTGATACAGCTGCAAAGTCAAAGAAGGAATGAACCTGCTTTATCATCTTCAGTGCAACTTCCACTGCTGTTCTTGAGAAGGCCTAGGCCACTTACAAGCCTGCCAAAATTCAACCTGATTTGACAACAATTAGTCACAACTGTATAATTCTCAACAGCAATGGAAGTTAAACAATCATGCATTCTGAGATAGTTGACACAGATGTAGGGTCTCAACTTCTTATAAGGTATTTCATGAGAAGACATCACGGTTTTGATGTTCCCCAAATTAAAGGAACTAACTCTACGTAAGTCCATGTCCTACCTTGGGTGTAAGTAAGTGTATGCTAGAGGGCATTGCATAGCTGAGGGGAACCATAAAAGGCACAGTAGCAAAACAGAATGTCTGATTTATAAAATTCGACAATTACTTACATTTTGAAAAGAAATGGACAGAGGCAAGGGAATTGCTTTTTTCTTTTTTTTACAACATTTTGTAATAATTATTTCCACATTTGTGCCTCACATGTTTCAATTCAACCTGATCATTATTTTTTTCTGCAATTTTTCCAGATCCATATGTTAAAATATATTCCATGCATGGAGGGAAGAGGTTGGACAAGAAGAAAACAACAATAAAGAGAAGATCAAAAGATCCTGTGTGGAATGAATCGTTCATATTCTATGTTCCAGTTGACAAGCTTAGAGATATAACATTTGTCTTCACTGTTATGGACTTTGACCGTATCACACAAAATGAGATGATTGGCCAAATAATCTTAGGATATCGCACCACTGGCAGTTCACTAAGGCACTGGACTGAAATGATGGGTAATCCTAGGAAGCCTGTAGCACAATGGCATAGGCTTCAACTTTACTAGCAAGAGGAATTAAGTTTTATGTGGCACTTAACATTTCTGCTAGAGTTCTGCAACCCAAGAAAAACTAACAATGAAAAATAGTAGTGCAGAATGAGATCACTTATTCCAAAACTCAGCAAGCAAATTGTCTACATGTCAAAAAATAGAGAAAACTGCAACTTTTAATTACTACTTTGAACTCAGGAGACCACTTTTTTTAACTTTGTGGTGACATGATTGTACATCATGTAGTTCAGCTGAAAATTTAATGAACAGAAGTATTCCTGAAAACTATCTAGATCTGTATTGTTCTTTCTTACAAAGATACAACACAAGACTGCAGCAAAGTGAAACTAATCATATGCAAACACAAATGAAAATAGCCTCTGGAAAACTTCTAAGTATGACAGATGGATACAACTAAATATACTAAAAATACTTGGTACAAAAATATATTTTGCCCAATGATTCATGACCTATAAACATGTCTTACTCATAAAACAAGTGACCTTCTATGTACAAGACATGTAATTTCATCTCCTACAGATTTACTCAGCCTTTCTCCACCCCTCTAAGAAAATTAAGCATCATCGTGTAAATGAGAAACAATACGCTTTTTGAAGATTTTTATGTCTACACAATTCTGGAAATCCAGGGACAAGTACTAGTAATTTAGGAGAAAAAAAAATAAAGTTTTCGGCTTGACCCTCAAAAGGAAACTTTCATAGTGAGTCAAACCTGCTGTTTTTTTCCTCCCACACAATTATTTGCCATTGAGTCTGCAACAATGTGTCAACCCCCAAAAACAATTTAAGTGGTTTGCAAAATTTATACAAAGGCAGAACTTTCCATGACTGACACTTCAAAAACATGACAGACAGAAGAGTGTCTTAATGGTTGATACATTCTTCAAGTTTACATTTACATTTCTCATGACCTTTTGAGTATTCAATTTCTTGTGGTTTGTGGGTATTAAATGCTTAATCAGATAATGCATCGAGACTTTTCTTTGAGGATTCTTCAAGTATAAAGCTAAGATGTGAAAGAAGTTGTTACATGTACATGTTGTAATGTTTTAGATCTAACAAAAAATAAAACATCAATGTCTGAAAGTATCAACTAACTTAACATTATTTTAACAACTACTTAAATTCCCAACACACTTAAAGGCTTAATAAAGTTAAAAGGTTTATTTTTGAAGTGGGTTTTAATTATCTTGACAGACTTCCTGATATTGGTACCACTTTTTAATTAAGTTTCTCCATTTAAAGGTCTTCTGTAGACAAGCTAACAAAAATTTGCATGAAATATGAACTCTGATGGAATCCATTAGGTTGTTCATTGTGTAAGCACTGATCATACTTTATCAACATTACAAACCAGATGTAAAGATTTATGGAAATGATGTATTTTTAATTCCAGACTAAATTAAAGGAGCTTAGTACTCTGTGGTGAAATAAATTGTTTTAGATTATGTGTAAGTTAAATCATTATACTATCCTGGCCCTGACCCAAGATGAGGTTACATGATATTAAAACAACTGTTTATGTTCTCTCTTTTGGATATAAAGTCCGCAGAGAATTTTCAGTGATTGCATCAAGGTTGGGGTGAAATGGGTGATTAAGTTTAGGAAGACATTATTTTGTGCAACATTTAGTTCATTCTTTCTGGGATGTGCACAGCTGCTTGAAGCAAAAGTAGCACAGGAAGAAGGGAGGGAGCAGATTAAAACCACACTGAGTAAACTAATTCCATGAATGGAATTACAAGTCACTAAAAAAAGATAACACACAAATAAATGTGGAGACACATGTGAAACATTTGTCACAAGTGTGAGACAAAGAAGAAAATGGAGTCCCATTGAGGATTCAAGCCACAGGCCTTTCCATCATGAGAGTAAGAGGCTCTGCCTCTGAGATACAAAATAACTCATTTTAGAGCTTGGCCATGTCTTAGGCTTATATGTAACAATCACACTGCTTAATTCCTGCCAGGATTGGAAATGACAAGGGCATCTTCATTTGATGCAGGCACCCGCTTTTTTAATCTATTCACAGTACAAGATGACTTTGACATTGGTTTTCACCACACCATTAGACTTTTATTTCATTCACACCTGTGCATTTATAAATACTACTTGTGATGAGCACTAATATGCTACATGAACTAATAAATACCTGAAATAATATTTACAATCCATCAAACCCTTATTAAAACTTAACTAGAGCCCATTATACTTAACTTCCAGTTTGAAGAGGGAGGAAAACAAATTATACTTTTTTCATCGAGTGTTATTGATAAAATAGCCAAAAGGCTTATCACTAAGAAAACAAATATTTATGAAAAAGGATAGTTATAATGTGCTGATGCCCAACATGAATGTCGTAGGATAAGGCTTATAAAACCTTCCCTATCAATCCAATTATATCCAGAGCACTAAGCTCTCTAAAACGTAGACGACATCAGGTCTCCTCAAGAAGTTCACTGCAGGAGGACAAGTGCATGGTAAATGAACAATAACATTAAAACATAACTTAATTGTAATTATTATAACAGCTAGTTCTAATAACTTGTAATCTAATAACTTGACCTGCTCAAAAAGAAAAACATCTGCTCTTCCATGCTTTGTAACCTCTAATGATAAGTTTCAAGAACTTATATACTTTGATGCTAGATGGCATCAAGGTTAATTATCACTTAGGTGAGGAAATAATTCCAACCTTGACCTTAAGTAATTTTGAACTTTTCTTACTCAGACGCCACAATGTATTAGTATGTTAGCTGCCTGGCACATCTACTTAACTTCTGACATTTGCATCAACATCTATAAATATCAACCTCTAATTAAGACAGGTTAGCATAAATTAAATTCTATCTCACCCATAGCAATTAAATTTCCCCTGTTGCAGGACCAAATCACTAAATGAAGTATTTTTTCATTTGTTTGTTTGTTTGTTTGTTTGTTTTTTAAATAAAATGTTCCTTTATCTACATGAACTCTGCTAATTCATGCAACAAGTGGTTTATATTATTATTAAAAATATCCATTTTAAAATTACATCTTAAGCAGCCATGGCAACCATTAAAGTTACATTATTTTGGTTATAAAAGTACCTATACAAGTATTTAATTCAAATTTAAGTGAAGGTACTCACTGCAGAAATTAGTAGACCTTATATAGTAATACTCCAAAATGTATGGTCACTCTTATCTGATAATAGCATATAAATGCTTATCGTTATCAAAAATAACTCAGTCATACAGTATACTTCTTGAGCATATTGAAAATGAAAATTTTTTGCATGAAGAATTTGTAAATATGATAGTAAAATTTAAACTTCACATGACAGAAATTTACAAATTAGCATACAAAATAAAACAACACCTGAAAACACTGATATATAGTTATATGGTAAAATTGTTTCCATATGTAAACAAAAGTTGCTGATATATTTACAGAATCCTCATCTCTAATGATGCTATGTGCTGTTAATACTCAACTACACAACATCATGATGTGTTTTTATGTTGTTGTCATATAATCATCAGTTGTGTTGTTATCATAAAAACTGGATCTTATTTTGACTACTCAAAACTACCTTGAAAACCTTTGGAATCAAGGAATCTGCACCACTCCAGAACACTGTGCTCCATCAAATAATTGTTATGAGATAGGAGGATACCTATCTGATGAGCGTTTACCCCAGGGTTTTTGATTCCCTGCTGTTGATCCATAAGATGAACCCATACTTGACAAAGACTTAGAGCGAGGGCCAAGACTTGGAAGTAAGGGTCGGCCGGCAACATTAATGTCGTCATGTAAATGTTTGTAGTGGAAACTACTTCCTCTAGGGCGGAATTCAGAAGTGAAGTTCTGATAGGAAAAAGTCGTAAGACCTCAGTAAAACCTCAGTAAAACCTCAGTAAGACCTCAGTAAGACCTCAGTAAAACCTCAGTAAAACCTGTGTGTAAGACCTCAGTAAAACCTTTCAAAGGGAATGTGTAAACTTCAAGGCTGCAAATAACTAACGGGCAGTCGCCGGTCACGTTGTCCAGTCAAACATGCTTTTGCTCGGACACTACCTGTTTTTGGCCGGTCAAATTTTAACAGTCTGAACTCTTGCAATAGTGAATCCAGATTGCACAGTAATCCTTTTACAACTAAAAAAAAAACTGAATCCAAGTCGGTCTGGCAATAAAAATTACAAGTCAATAATTTTACTACTCTTTACTGCAGAAGCAGCCTCGCATTGAGTACGTGGAAAGTTTACGCAAGATAGAACCGCAATTGTCCGTTTTACTTTACATCTGGCTAAATCACTTATAATTAAATATTACACCCAGAGCCCTTTTTTTTTAAGTTACAGTTGTGAATTTTTGTAAAAGAGTGGTCGGATTCTCCAGGTTTTGGGCCTTTTGCTCACTTTTTGCACTTTGCAACAAATGCTACTTGGAGTATTCTCGATGCAACAAGATTATTCTTCGTGAGGGTGCTTTCCGATCATTCAATCGATCAAACAATTGATCACTTTATTTAAGAGTAAATGATGGTATCTAGCCAAAGGTAAAACCCTCTACTAACTGGGAACACTTAAATAAAGTAAATAAAATAATGGAAGACACGATGATTTGCGGTCGTGACACGACTTGATGACATCGCGGAAATTTGTGACTGCTGGGAATTTCTCGACCACTAATTTGTCTACTTTTATATTGGTTTTTTTTTTTTGGAAACATGACTGTGTCCCTTGTGATAAGGAAACAGTTAAAAATTAAAATTTCTTTGAACGAGTTGGTAAAGGACCAGACGAGATGTCCGGCAAACCAAGGATTTGTCCGGTCAGTACCCAATTTTGACCGGACATTGTTTGTTAACCTGCCGTTATTTGCAGCCCTGAACTTAAAATTCTGAGTGTTTCTACATGTACAATTACATGTACAAGTTAAGCAATTGGAGATGAAGAGAATTTTCTAGCTAGTAATTGGTTGGGCAGAATTCTCCAGCTAAACTTCAGAATTCTCCATTTCCATGGCCTGAGCTACTTCTAATTCCCACATGGAGAATAAAATTATTGTCCCACTGTTTTACACTATAACTTGTAATAGACATGCAGTATGGCAGTGATAATTACTGTACATTTCTATATTATGCTGCATGCATTTCTATATTATTGCAGGTAACCTTCTTTTGTCTGTTGGCTTAATAATAACAGCTTCAAGCTAAGGAGAAATTTCTTAAGACAATAGTTCAATTTTCAAGCTTTCTTTGATACTCAAATGTTTTAGTCAATCATAATTATTATTATAATTATTATTATCATTGAATATTTAAACCAAATTTTAAATTTGGATTTCAACTGCTTTTTTTATGCTACCATCTCCAAAGTCAGTAAGCACTCAACTGAGTTGACCCTTACAAACTTTGCTCATCCAGGAATTCCTCTTTTAGTAAAAAACACATATGGTGTGCAAACAAACTGAGAAAGTGAATAATAAACCAAGTTGAACATAATTACAATTTACATATGATACACTTATTGCACTAGCATACAAAACTCAAGACTACAGATATCAACTGACCCCAGAGTTGTCATTCACTGCAAAAACTGGAGCAATATAGTCATCTTGGCTGCATTCATTATTTTCAGTGTCAAATATTGCTGCCATTGCCCATATGGGTAGGAGCCACCTGATAATCTGAAAAAATTGTGGTAAATTTAATTTCCAAATGATATGACCACAATGTATCCCTACAGGTTTTTTCTTCAACCACCAGGGCTCGACACTAACTTTTCAACTTACTAGCCAAGTGGTTATTGACAACTTAGATGTTACAACAATTTCAGTTTGTTTACTAGCCAAACTGGCCAGTGGAAATCGAAAACCACTGCCCAAAACTGAATTTCTACTAGTCTGTGGCTAGTGGGCTACCATTAGTGTCAAGCCCTGAAACACCACATCCGATTGCTAAAATTCTACAAAACCAGTAGATATGCTTGTGATACATCATTGCAAGTCATACTATTTCATAGAAATGAAAGGAAAAAAAATGCGTTTTCCCTCTAAATCATAGCACATAGGCTTGAGCAAATTAGTCTTTCTCAACTACTTGAAGGGTGAGTACAAAGTGACAAAAAGGCAAAGTGGAGGTGGCTATACACAACAGCAACACCAGCAACCTTGATTTTTTGGTATAATTTATTGTTTCTTTCAATTTAAGTCACTACTATAATCTGGTGGGCACCTGGAAAAACTTTCAGTTCCCACCTCAAAGAGATCGATGCTCCAAATCTCTTCAGTTACAGCATATTCACTCTACATGTCAATGTATTTCTATACAAAATTAGTTAATGACATACAAGTGAAACTTGTCTAAATTTTGATGACAATTTCAGCAGTAATTCATGTAAATTTGTTCTATGCTTGTTGATATTTGTACCAAGCAGCTTCGCATACTCTCTTCCCAACCTACCTTAACTTTTTCCACCTTATGGATTCTTATTGAGACCCTGTAAGCATAACAACTGCAACCAAATGTTCCACAAACAATTGTCAACTTACATTAACAGTGATGTACATGGCTGTGTAGCCTGCTTTACTTGATAGCTGAAACAAACAATTATTTTGAACAATTAACCTTGTTATCTCACTAAACTGCTCATTATAAAAAGTAGTTGAGAGAGGTTATAGTTAGCTCAATAGCCACCAACACAAGTTCCCAAACTGGCCACTTTCCCAGAACATTTAGTCACCAAATTTTTTTTCCCAAAGCACAGCTTGGGGTAGAGCTCAAAATTTAGCCTTTGCTTAACAGTTTAAATTACAGTAGCCCACAGGGGCAGTACAAAAATATTTTTTCCAGTACAAAAATATTTTTCCCAGTACAAAAATATTTTTCCCAGTACAAAAATATTTTTCCCAGTACAAAACTATTGATCCCAGTACAAAACTATTGATCCCAGTACAAAACTATTTATCCCAGTACAAAAATATTTTTCCAGTACAAGTGGGGAATAGGAACTAATCTCCCAAAGGTTATTGTGAGCTTCCTTGGAGCACATGTAAATACAGCGGCACCTTTGGTGGCTTGTTTTTGCCATTGCTGTAGCTTCAAAATCGTGGATCCAGCTTACAGGTATTGCCCAAAACGTGGCAGAGAGGTTTTCCTTGTAGCATCACCTGCAAAGTCTACAAGCAACACCACTGAACCGCCGGATTCGCTGAAGACGAGGAAATTTTCTTTGCCAAGCTTCAAGTCGAACAAAGCTAAAAAGGGGTCCAAGAGAAGCTCGTTTTTTTTTTAGCAAAATCAACAAACAAGACAAAGAAAAGCAAACTAGAGCCAGAAAAAGAAGTCACAATTACTGCCGATTTCTGTACCAGGATAAATATTTTTGTACTGAAATTAATACTTTTGTACTGGAATAATTCTATATTTTTGTACTGTGATAAATATTTTTGTACTGCCCCTGTGGGCCACCGTATTGAATAAATATATAACAAAGACAAAAGATTGAGTTTTTTTGTTTCAGTTTTTGCATTAAACAAAAACTTCTTACCAATACTCCTTGACAGTCATTCTTTGGTCCAGCTGCAATTTAACAGAATAATTTTCAGGAGAGTTTAACTAAAAAAAAATACATCCACCAAATGAGTTTTGAAAAATTAGGCTTGCTCACTTATAGAAGCTAATTATACAGAATGTACATGTAGATGTATGTTGCCCCAAAACTTGTGGTGGTTGTAGTAAGTGAAGGATTAGTAGTCTTACTAGTAGGCAGTATTTCTAAGCTGTACCATAAGGAAAGATAATGTTCTGAATACTTACTGATTCTCATGACGATGTCATGAACAAGGCTGACCAATGCTGATAATTCAAAAATGAAGATTATCCTTTGATGGGATAAAAAATATAAATTAAACAAATTGATAATTAAAAGCCTCACACACGAAAATGAAACAGCATTAATCTCATCACTTTAGTCCTTAGTGCTGTAGTTAACCTGCATCTCTTGCACTAGTAGCACTGAGTTTGCCAAGGGAAAATACATCAGCAGGAAAATCATGCAAAACTTTTTTGGTAATAATAATAATAATAATAATAATAATAATAATAATAATAATAATAATAATAATAATCGACTTTATTTAAAGAGGGTATACACATAACAGCTTGCGCTGATAAACCAGTGGCCCTCAAAACTAAAGTTAGTAAGTAATACATTCTAAGCCATAGAGATTAAAAATAGAACTAACTAGTCAAACAATGTAACTATTCAAAGATTATAAATACAATAAAACTAGATTATAATACAGCTTCAAAAGAATCAATGACTCTATAAGAATTTATAAAATAATTCATCAAAAAATCATTCCTAAGAGAGGAGATGCTACGTTGTTTCCTAAGCTCATTTGGAAGACTATTCCATAACTTAATACTACTAACTTGGAAAGACCTTCCTGCTTCAGTAGCATTTTGATATTTGGGACAGATCAGGTTATACTGGCCATGCCTGGTCTCTCTACCATGCAGGGAGTGATTTGTAGTTAAAGTACTTTCAATATACGTAGGGGATTCCCCATGCAGTGCCTTAATAACTTAGTGGTAATACATTTCTACCTGTGTCTTCCCAAGTTGTTTATTGTCAAGGTACTGTAACAGTTTAAGTATCTAGTCCCAAAATTTCTATATCATATCTGACATTAACTTACTGTTTCATTCCAAACAAAAAAACAAAAAAACAGATGTATTAACTTCATACACTCACCCCCATAAATCCCTTTTCTGTGCAGTCCTGTTATCTTCCAACATACTCACATTATTGAGCTCCCTGGAAATCAAACAGTTAAGCTTTGATAATTGCTCAAACTGTACACTGCAAGATTAAAAACAATTTCTGTACCCCAGCACAGAGAATATTCCATGGTCCAGTTATTCTAACAAATTTTACCCATTGTTTAAAATGGCATTGTAAGCAAACTTCAATTTAGCTGAACTTTTTATCTGAATAATTACTTTTATAAACAGTGTCAAGAGGGCCGAACGCTTATAGTGGAAGCGCACTCATCTATTTTATTTTTGTTTTATTCTATTTTATTTTTATTTTATTTTATTAGTTTCGCTGACAGGTAGGGACACTGCAACAGCTTGTGCCAATTACTGCAGGCCCAGTAAACCCACCCATCCCACCTCAGGGGAGGACATCCATCACAGTAATCTCGTTCATAGGAAATTAACATCTCCTGCCCCTAACCCTACAGGAGATGGGACCTCCATTTATTCGTCCCTATCCGAGAAGACTAGAATATCTAACCATTTCTTGATGTTATTAGAAAGGTTGAATGTTGGTCCGGCCGGGGCTCAAACCCTTGACCTCCTGGGCCTGAGGGTTTAAAAGGGGGTTTAAAGCCCTAAAAAGAGGAAGGATAGGAGAAAATAACGTGGGGTGGAGGGTTGTCATGAAATTCCCTTTGTGATGGGTACTATCAATAATGGATATGTTCAGGAACCCCACAATGATGCTAATCTTTGATAATCCTACATATTATAACACTGCCTCAAACAAAATAAGGATGTCTTTTGAGATACAAGGCCTGACTGCCACAAAATTCAAGATTCATAGAGCAAGTGCCCAAAAATTAAATATAATTATAATACCCTAAAACTTTATCACAGTTCAATAACTAACTGAATAATCTTGCATTAATAATCAAAATATAATTCTTTGACCTATATACACTACAAAAGGGTGGCTAAACCCAAGATAACCATTGGAGTTACACTGAGTATATCAGTTTGTTCCTTGCATGTAAATGTTGCATGTTAGATTATGTGCATGGTAATGCAAAAAAAATTCCTCAAAGGCTCCAATAACAGAGTGGCCATAGAAAAGTAATCTATTAATCTGAGGTAAAGAAGCTTAACATATAATGTCATTTTGGTTTATATTAGATCATGTTTGTTCACCTTGTAATTAAAATTCCTGATGCCAGGAAAACTTGGACAACAAACATTTCAGCACTTGACAAAAGCAACCATTCAGGTTCTGCAATAAAATATAAATAATTAATATTTTATAAAATCATACCTGAAATAAATGCATTAAAAGCTACACTCCCCTGGAACTTTGTAGCATTATTTTCATGCATGTTCTACCTATAACTGTACATCAATGGCACATCAGAATGCAATTATTGTGATGATTTTGTGTAAACTCCAAAGCACAATTATGCAGGAATGTCCTAAATAAAAATATCCCGACCTGGGCAGCCTATGAACAGTCACCAGAAATTTAAAAGAGGAGAGATGTTTTAAATGTTATGATTCTCTAAACAAAATGATGAGCCAAAGCTAGAGAATCCAAAGTGACAGGTGAGGGGAATAAACCAAAACCCTCTTCAGCAGGGTCATGAAGGAACAACAATATCCTAAAGATTATACCTGCACATTCTCTGTATTCATTTTTCATTGTTGCCAGTCCAACAATAGCAATGATAGCCAGGGCAATAAACACAGCTGCGACAATCTTGTTAGAGTACCTGGAAAACAATAATAAAAAAAATTAGCCACTGAATCAACAACACATTATGGAGCAAAATTCCTTTTTAGAGTTTAACACTCTATCTTTGATTTCATTAATTACGTAAGCCACAATGTATTTTACCAACAAGTGATGTCACGCTTAATCCTTATCCAACACTTCCTTTCCAGAAGAGAATAAGGAGACCGGAGCCACACAGAATTTCGAGTACCATTGGTAATTAAGATTGGAAAGTAAAGCAGGAAGCAGAGAGCAACGTAAAACGGAAAACATGAATTAATCTTAAATCTGCAACCTGTGTTTTGCAATAAAAGTCAAAGGTAAGGGCAGTGAGGGGTGACAGAGTGAAGAACATGAATTAAGATTCTGACTTCAAACTTCTCTCCCAAAACTGCATGGAGCCTCCACTCTTCTGCTCTTAAAATTCAAGTTCAGGAGACAAGTGAGCTTAGAGATCTTCATTCACTGCTGACTGACAAAGTCATTTCATGTGAGTTCAACAGAAGAGAAATGTGTTGTACCACCTGCCCTCAGAAATGATTCAAATTGTAAACAAGAACATACCTCTTAAATCTATCTTCAACTCTTATCATCCTAGCTGCTAGATGGCAATGAAAGTTTACAACCACAAGAAACTGATAGTTGGACAAAAGAAAATGAAACATATCTAATCACTGTACTGAAAAAAAAACCATTTCAGGAAGAAGCTTTCATGAATTTCTCTAGATGGATAAAGAATGATAACCTTGAGAAATCAATATTACCAGTACATGGTGTATGTATGTTTTCCGGTATGACTAGAATTTGCAAGTCCTACACTACAAGCAGTCCCTCCTCTGTCAAAAAAAAAGTGCAGTGAAAAAGAATTGATGGTGCATTGCATGGAAATTCTGCAAGTATAAGATGCTCAAAAAGTACTTTTCCTGACCCTCACTCCCAGAGTTCCACACAATACACTAGCCACCAATTATTTTTTTTTCAGCTGATTCTTTTTTGGACTTTTGCTATAGACTTTGCTGAAAAAGAACAGACTGCTTTTGGTCTAAAGTGTACAAGTTCATGCACACACATCTCAGCAACGATGCGCGACTATATGTCATTCATATTTTAGCAAACAACTCACCTGACAAGCAACTTTGATGAACTGTGTCAGTAACTGTACAGCAGTAACAGCCAAGTACAACCAGTTAAAGCCACTAAAACAATAAATGTTTTATTAAACTGTACATTTTTGCTGGCTGATTACACATGTTGTTATTGATTAACAGCTAGACCTTACATACTATCTATGTTACAAATAATTATAATTATGATCTACTTTGCCATTCCTCTGTTCAGTAAAAGAGCACAAATGACGTCAAATTTTCTTATAGTCATTTCTTTTGTAACTATCAGCCGAAGATCTAGTTGCCTACTACTGCGCTTGTATTAGATCCTCCTTTGACTACGCCTGCCCTGTGTTCCTTTATTCTTTACCTCAATACTTACAGTCAGAGTTAGAAAGAGTTCAGAAAAGAGCTCTGGCGTGTATTTTTCCGAGAATGCTGTATGGGGAAGCGTTAGAGCGTGCCTCTTTGACTTCTATCAGGGAACATCACGAAGACATTACAAAGTCGTTATTTAAATCAATCAGCGAGAATCGGAACAGTAAACTACATTACCTAATTCCTGAAGCCCATAGCCCTCATTATAATTTAAAGCGCCAAAGAACGTACAATGTACCAGCAGCCAAGCCAAAGTGTTTTGCCAATTCGTTTTTCGTAAAGGGTGCGGCTGTAGAGAACTTTTAATAGAACTTTAAGTCATCACATTTTATATTTGTATAGTAGTAGTTTGTAAAAAAAATTGCACAATTCAGTATTTTTACAGCGATGTGATTTTAATAAACCAGTCTATCTATCTATCTATCTATCTATCATATCACATCACTATTGATGTGGAATCAGCCAGTCTTACCAAAGAAAGCATTCCACAATCCCACTGTAGAATACAATATACTGATTTGGCAGGGAGTGGCGATGAGAGTGGAGCTTATGAAGCTATATTACAGGAAAAAATAGATTAAATTATAATTATTAATAATTTGTAATTATCTTATTAACGTTATTATCATTTGTAGTTCTGTGACATTTAAATTGGTTTGGGTTTTGATTCTCTAAGTTCTGCTGAGCATAACAAGAAAGTAAAATGCTATTATCCAGTAATTAGCCAGAAGAAAAAGTTGTGTCCAAGCAAGCAGCCGTTATAGAGTAGAGGGTCATTAAACATTCCTTAAAATGACTGTATGATAAGCTGGTCTGCCTGCTATCAGTGATGCAAGTTTCTAATATCTTGGATGTGAGTGAGATAAAACTACATTAGAGAGGATTTTAAATAAAGACTATAATAGGCTATAATGGACAATGAAATATAACAGACAACAACAGACTAACAGTAAAGAACTACCCACTTTCTTTCATCCTTTCACATTTCCAATACCAACCCCTGAAAATACTTACATTGAAGAAATAAATATAACATACAAATGACAACCTGACGACTTAAAATTACCTTCACAACACAGACAATACAAGTGATGATGGCCAATATTGTTAAACTGGTGTCCCTAACAGTGAGAAAGGGGTAAGTATGTCAGTTTGAGGTCTTCACATTTTTTTTAACATAAAAATATATATTTTCAAAATCATTCGGAATTAGTACCTCACACATGAAGTAGTGTTGAATGTCTTGAAACATCCAGTATAAGCCAGGGAATGTATTATAGAATCATTTCCATTAGACATGATTGGAATAGTTCAACAATGCCCTCCTGCAAGTAATGGAAATTTATTGATATATAAAATGGTAATCCAACTAAAAGGATGGCAATTTGGTCTCAAATCATACCCTCGATTTCAAAATTGAACATTCAAGCAGCACGAGTTCATTTTAAAATCACAAGTATGATATCAGACCACACAAAGTTCAGTTACCACTTTAATTCATTCATTTTGGAATTCCAAACTTTCATCACCAAAATGCAGGATTTTAGTCAGTTCAAATAATTTGTTGACCTAGTACTGAGCCACTTCATAAAAAGTAGAACTGGAAAAAGAAAAAAGAAATATTTTGAGGGCAAAAGTTGCAAAATTTGCCACACAAGGGCTTAAGGTCTTTCATTTCCTGCAATTTAGTTCATTATTTCAACCAAGCCCTGAATTATGATTGGCTGTTTAGTCTAAGTGTTGCTCTCTTGTTGGCTAGGAGAAAGATGCAATTTAGAGCAAAATGTAATAAATAAAAAAAAATATATATTAAAAATTGCACTGCTGAGAGCCAATCAGATTGCAAAGATCACTAGTGATTTCAAAGTGGACGTAATTAAAATCTAAATGGAAACTTATCAACCTGAAGTCATTTCAGGCAGGTCAGTAGTGGCCCATGAATGAAGTTGAAAATAATATGCAATAGAATGTAGTCTAAATCTACTTCTTGACTTAACCGTGGTGAGACTTCACCCTTCCCGGCGCAGAACAATTCTCTAAGGGTCTGATTACATGAGCCGGACTGGCCCTGTTAGCCGGGCTGATTTCTTTTGTTTTGGAACAATAATAATCCTGGTGATTTAAAATCAATGCCCAATAAGGGAACCAACATGAGATGAAGCCACCGAAAACCACAGGAAAAGAAAACAAATAAACCCTACTTGGAAATACTTAAATACCGGGAAAAGCTACAAGTTTTCACTTGATCCAAAGAATTAAACGTTTTGACCTTTCAAGCGCAAAGTAAAGCAGAACAAAGTCGACGTCTCGGCCTACTGTACTTTCACATTACTTGCATTGTATAATCCATACGCATTTAATTCAGCTTCTGAACTTTATACTTCTTTAGTACGTCAAACAACATTCCAAGGTAAAATAAATTCAAGAGCACTATCCGTTTAGTCAAAGCTCACAAATTTGGCGTTGTCGAGGAGCCAACACAGGTCAAACAGTATTCACAATTCTTTCCTCACGCGCGGCGTGATGAAAAATAATAATGAGGATTAACTGTTGAATGAAAACTATTTTCCTTCAGCATCCCCGAAAATTTCAAGTACTCACCTATGGAATACCGTACTTATGATACAAAGTAGTGGTCACAGAGGCGTAAATCTCTCATAAAACCACCAGGAAACAGCTCAACATGCCCCTCCATTTCAAGCCCCCAGACAAAATCACAAATACGACCACACAGACAACAACAAACTGATCCTCACCAGTGTAGGGAGAGGTGAAAAAACATTAATGTATTAATGAAATCCTTCTGAGAAAAAAATTCACTTACCTAACGAGGTGTTATCTTAAACGCGAAAAATACACAAGTAAGTTTTTCCATTCAGCGTTCTAAATCATCACAGAAGATATTGCTCTTAACATCTCGGCTTCCCCCAGGGGAGGCTACTTGGTACTGTTCTTTATTTCCAGACAAAATGTGCCAGGTTCCTAAGGTACATCATTTAAAAACATCAATAACAGTTTCGGCCTGAGAAGGAATTTTGTTATTCTTTGAATATGACGCGACGAAACGAAATATTCCATCTAGATTTTAACCAAGACCAAGGTGAATTTTTACTATCTGAGTTTCTGGGTGATTTCTCTCATAAGAACAACGGATTCTTGAAATATCCGCTCAACTTCATCACCGGTGCTGTCTCGAGAAATGCTTCGTGAGAAATCTCCAACTTATGTTCTCTTAAAATGGTTGGCAGAACCTTTCCCTGATGGATTTGATAGACTCTTGTGATGCTTGTCTAAAGCAGCGAAAGTAGGCTTTTAGTGGAATGATGATGTCGGTGAAACGAAAATTTACTATATTTAACTCTGACTGTAACATCAATGTCTTCATCAATGTAGGTTGTTTTAGCTGTACCATGGATGGAGAGCTTAGAATTTATAACGTAGAGCCTCTGTCAGAAAAGGCTCGTGTTGGTAAGTCAATCTATAACGTGGTTATTCTCCTAAAATCTCTGTTTTTATTTTCACGTGTAAAATCATGAGTAATGGTTGTGATTTATATAATTACTCGTTTGTAAGACTCATATGTCATAAATGTCTTGTGAAATCATTGAATGTTATCTTAGGCTGTATCTTTAGTACAGAGATAAACATGTAGTATTTACGAATTTATTGAGGCATAAATACTGGCGATCTTAGGGAATAAGAGTGTGGAACACAGCCTCGTGATTAGCTGATTTACACACTCACAGACATGCCGATGTTTGTAAATGATTATTTTAAAAAGTATCATTACGTTTATAGATCTGAATGAGCCATTCCAGATATCTCAGGCTCACATGTTGCATAGATGTAACCTAATAGCCATAGTAGGAACTGGACCAGGAGCAAGGTTTTTTAATGACAAAGGTAAAATACTTAATATTGGTAGTGACTGTATGTGAGAGGTTCCTTTTTAAGGATGCTACGAACATTGTCTTCCTTGTACAGTGGTTTTACGCGGTGAATGACACAGGCATGCTCAGAGAAAAAGAACTCCAAGTCCTCCCAATGGGAGTCGAACCTACCATCTTTTGATTAGTAATTCAGATGCTCTACCATTGAGCCATACGAGACTCAATCATGGCAGGCTGGGCCATCTAGCTTTCTTGTTGGTAGAAAAAGTATGTCTCATATTTTGGAAAGTTTTGAAGCAGCTCGTGGGTAGAGTCTCGCAGGTGCTACACAGTACAATAACAAAATCATGTGACTCATGTTTCTCAATTAAAAAATGATAAATTTTTAAATATATTATTTTCAAGCTGCATTTTACTTTGAAAACTTAGTGCTAGCTTGCTTGAAAAATCTTAGACTTACAGAAAGTACAATTCAATTAATTTATAAACAGATTTTTGTGTTATATGTTGAATACATCAGTTTGATGACACTAAACTCAAACATCCTTGTGACAAGCAATCTTAAAGGGTACAAATTTCAACTACAGAGCTAATTTAATTTCCTAGATTGTGAAATTAAGTCAGTTCATGTTTGATCAAGTGATTTAACCTGTGGATTGATTAATTACCTCCCTTTTGTCTACTTCTTTTTTATTGTTCCAACATGAGTTTAAATTAAAAGTTACACGTGAGATGTAACCTGTTACATAAGTTTTGAACCCCTGAATTGAAAGTTGATTCTTTGTTTTGCATGAATTCTACATATAATTTTTCAATTTTGTTGATTTTTAGTGTACATTTGGGATGATATGTTAAAAAAGCTTGTAATTGAACTCTCATTTGGTTGTCCTGTTGTAAGCATCAGGTTAAGAAGAGACAAGTAAGTTTTTGTTTGTTTACAAAGTACATGACTCACTGGGGGAGGACTAAGGACAGAGATGGATGAGAAGTGGAGGGGAGGCTATAAAATATCTGGCAATACAGCAGTATATCAAGAACAAGTGACACTAGACACTTACATTGCTGCTGACAATTTTTTTATTCAAAGACATGAGATTTTTACCAAAATAGAGGTGCTAGGCTGAGCATTCCTGTTATATCTGAAGAAACCCTAAGATTTTTCAAGGCAGCTAGTACAGTAAATATTATGAAGAACTGTAATTACAAACTCATCATCTCTAAGTGTTCTCCCTTCCAATATCACAAGAGGGGGGAAAGTATAATCCTTCACAGGGATTATCTTCCTTCTTGCATTGATTGTATCATGTTAAGACAAGTGAATACCCTCTGTAGATGTCAATAATTTTCTGGTGTAACAATTTATACCTTTCAGGCTTTTTGTAGTTTTGAAGACAAGGATCCAAGTATTTTCATTTCCTAAAGATCCAAATTTGCTGTTTTACTTTGACACAAAAGAAAATCCTAAAGGTACACTTTTCATTAAATCATAAAAGACAGTTATAGTCTTTGTGGATGTCTTGGTTGTAAAATTATTTTTACTTCACATGTTTGAGTCTCACACATTCACAGGTCTTTGTGAAGTTTGTCCAAGTATTGACAGGCCCCTATTGGTTTTTCCTTCACGCAAATGTGGCAGTATACAGCTTGTGGTATGCAAAAAAACTAGGTGTTTTGTTTATCCTTTACTTGGTACAGGCATTTAGATACATGACTGTATAAGTTTCAAAATGATGACTACCGGTAGTTAATTTTAATATAAGCTTTAGAGATGTAAATTAACTCAGCAATGATATCATAAAGGAACTCACTCAGGAACATTGGTCTAACTAGCCCAGTATATAATTATAGAGGGGTGTTAGTACAAACAGCTTCTCCATTTTTGTCTTTTTCATATCTAATCATGATATGCAAGGCTTTTTGATGAAAAGTATCTATCTAGATTTCTTATTTATTTAACATATTTTGTGCCATCCATTTCATGGTTACAGCCGCCTTTCCTACCACTAGTCACCTATTAAAAGTTTACTAAAACCCAGGATGAAAAAGAAAAATTTGGTATCTCCAAGCAGCCATGTAATATTATCACATAAACACCAGTGAAATACTAATTAAAATCATTTCACTTTATCATTAAATCATTTCACATAGCAACAGAGATCTCTTCACATGTGAAGATATCAGATATCGTGTTTTTGCATGAAAGCCCACTTGGTATTTCATTTGTGTTTACATAATATTTAGCTATGTGTCTCAAATAAGATTGTCCAGTCATTTCCATCTGTCTGCTTACTCTCAGTGAGTTTAAATCATCAAATGAGTTTGCCCAATCTACAACTAATTTTGGTGAGGTATTACAGTCACTCTTTTTTTGTTCAAATTTGTATGTAGCTCAGGCTATTCCATGTTCTCTGCTTGCTTCACAGGATCTGACCAATAGACAACCAGATACTTCAACAGCACCATTTACAATTAATGCCCATCAAGGTGAACTTGCATGTCTGGCTGTTAACCAACAGGGTACTCAAGTGGCCACAGCTTCAGTCAAGGTGGGTTTTATTCTCTCCTGGTTAGTTTTGGAAATGGGTGTTTAGTTACTCCCAGCATCTCCAACAGTTTTTACTTTAGAAGAAACTCTCCCCTGTCTCTCCAACATAAAGGCTTCAGGGCCGTAGCCAGACTTCAGAACAAGGCGAGGCAAGTCTCGAGTGCTGAAGGTGCGAGCCGCTAGGGGGGTCTTGGTGCATGTCCCCCCCCCTCCCCAGAAAATTTTGAAATCTAGAGGCTCAGAAATGCTCTTTTAGGCATTTTCTGCAGCATTTTTCTTCAAAAAAGTCAATCTAGGGCAAAATCAAGATGAGGCAATTGCCTTGTTTTGCCTCATGCTAGCTACGGCTCTGGGCTTGCTCTTAAAATGATGGGAAGGTAGAGTTCTCTGCTGGCTGCAGAAACAAGTATCACTCAACAAGCCCCATAGAGAAGTACCCAGCTCAGCAGACCCTCTGTCTGCCTTTTTTTTTCCTTTTCTCTTTCCAATTTCCATTTTTTTGGGTGATGGAATATTTTTGTACCCATTTCACTTACTGAGAGAATGCCCTCCCTTGCTAGAAGTTTACAAAAGGGTAGCAACTTTAGTGTGGAAAATTGAAGGAAATGACCTAATTCAAATCCTCTGATAGCAGATTTAGTGATGTACTCCAGACAAAACAAAGTAAAACTTCCTAACCAAAGTGCTTCTTCAGTCATAGCTTGATATCACAAGATATATATTAGGTGATGTACTGTTTAAATACATGTAAAGAGGGAAACTCTTTTCTATAGAAGAGAAATGGAAGGGGTACCTTGAAGCAGAAAAGTGATATTAAGGAGAGTTAAGGTTTTGAGGTCAAAGTGGAATATACACATACAATGTTTTGATTGATTAGGTAAAAGTAAAATTGCGTCCAATACCCAAATCAAATAAAAGTGGTCTAAACTTGGTTATTTTGTTTTCCTTTCTTTCTTTTTTCACAGGGTACACTTATTCGTGTGTTTGACTCACAAACCAAAACCTTACTGGTAGAGTTACGACGGGGAGCAGATCCTGCTACTCTGTACTGGTTAGTGATTTCTTAAATGTAGTCAGTCATGTAGTTTATCTTGAACTTAAAATATTAACAGGAAATTGTGTTCTCTTGGCAGCATCAATTTCAGCCACGACTCTGCATATCTGTGTGTTTCCAGTGATAAAGGAACAGTTCATATCTTTGCTCTGAAGAACACTTCTTTGAACAAGAGGTCAAGGTAATGGATATTGCCAAGGCTCTGCACTCTACTGGCTACTGCCTCTTTTTTCTTTTTCTTTTTTTTTTTTTCATGTTGCCATCAAATTATCATATCATGTTGCCATCAAATTATCATATCATGTTGCCATCAAATTATCATATTTTAAGGCTGCTATCCTCCCGTACCTCACCTACTGCCATCTCACCTGGCATTTTTGCCGAGCAAATGACAAGAGAAAACTTGAACGCACTCAGGAGAGGGGTTTGCATGCAGTCTTCAGAGATAGTAAATCTACATATGAGCAATTGCTTAAGAAGGCTAATTTAAAATCTCTTTATGAAAGAAGGCTACAGGATATAGCTTGTTTTATGTTTAAAGTGAGGCATAATCTATGCCCACCGGCTGTCAAAAATTTGTTTTCATTGAAAAGTTCCTCTTACAACCTCAGAAGCGCAGATTTCCACATTCCTAGGTTTAATACTGTTACTTATCGCATGGAAAACATTCCCTAAGATATATTGGCCCTTTGCTGTGGAATCGACTTTCAACTAACATAAAAACCTCACCTTCTCTACAATCTTTTTAAAAAACAGATCTGTTTAACTAACCTTTCGTCTAAATTAGAATATGATTGTGAGAACTGTGTTTTATGTAGCACTTGAACAATTAGCTGGCTCAGGGAACGCTCTATGTGTTTATTTGATTTAATAATGAGTATTAAATAAGGTAGTTTAAACTTTTAGTTCTTAATGTTAAT